TAGTGCAAATAACTGTGTGTTTTACTGTCACCTAGTGGTAGAAGCAGTGGTGGTGTTAGGAGCAGGTACCTGTTTTTCTATTTACAACTTTTATGGAAAGCAATCCATTTTAGGAGGTCAACTTTACTCATATTTTAATACCTTTGGTCTCTAGTAGGAGTTAATGCTTTATAATCTTTTCTCTGGGGGAGGAAAGCTCAAGTGTTTGAGGAAGTCAGCTGGAGGAGAAAGTGGCAGAAGACTGCATGATTTGGACTCCTATTTACTGATAGTTGGACATCTCTCTTCTGATTGGCTAACAGCAATGTAACTCTACCACTGACTCAGTTTGCTCTGCAACGCTGATGTTTTCTCTCCACACATAACACAAGCCTGAAGGAGCCCTGCTGTGTGGTGGAGTTGATAATATAGATTCTACTGGAACCTAATATAACAACAGCTTTCCCCGTCAGGAGAGGAGACGGGTGAGTCCATGAATGGTAATTGACAGCGTGATGTAGATCTTTCAGGCTTTTTCTGAACCGAGTCTATTTTCTATCAAAAGCTAATGCAGGAAATAGGTATGTTCATGTTCAACCTGCACCTAAAACTCAGAGTTACTGATCATTTTCAAAAAATAATCAGTAAAAAAATGGTTTTTCATTTAACCTGCTTGTAGGAGCAATTTTAATGTCCATGAATTAGCCCAGGGGTCGGCAAACCGCGGCTCTGGAGCTGTATGCGGCTCTTCCATCCATCTGATGCGGCTCTCTGTGCTTGTAAAATAATGAATGGATATTTAAATAAAAAGCTTTATATTTTACTGCATTAATTTTACATCTGTATGCCAATTCTAAATGTAAAGATTGTCTGCGTAAACCTGAACAGTTCCAACCCGGTCTCACTGTGAGACGCTTGTGCGTAATCATATCGGCGCTTCCTGAGCTGACGAGGATGTGAGATTCTGGGATTCTCCTCAGACAGGCTCCTGGATGTGTCGCCACATTGGAGACAGGAACAAGCACTATTCAGCCAAAGTTTCATAATCAGGGAGCATTTTCTAAGTGACAAGTGTTGCTTCAGTCGGAGGAATCTTCCCACATGCGCTCTGGTTCTGCGACGCGCTCCAAGCCCCTCTCCACATCTTCAGCTCGCTGTGGACCTTATGTAGTACACGCTGACAGTGAGCTGCGCTGAGCAGTGTCCAGCTCAGATGTTCAGATGGGAATCTTTTCTTGAGTGATTTAGCTACATCTGTGATGTGCGTATCGAATAAAGTGTCAGTTCGTCTGCATGCGTCGGGGTAATTCTTTCTATTCTTTCTCCATCAAAATAAACGGTCAAATACGGGAACTATCCGGTCAACACAAGCCCTGCTTTTAACTGTTCTGTTTTCTTGTGAAAATTGTTGCGAAGAGATAAAATTAAACTTGATTAACACCAGAGCCACATACCCGTCACTGTAAATGAGGGAAAAACAAATTGATCTGATCCTTTTCTGACCTTCCCCACCTACAAAGTTTAATTACAACAATCAAACGTGACAGAGCCTGGATTTGTATTCTGAACTGTCTAAACATGTTTTAAAAAGAAACGTATGACAAAAGTGGCACCTGCTCAGTAAAACCACCAACAGGGTGAAAAGTATCAAAATATTGTAGCAGAGACGGGCTACAACTTCTGGATCCATTTTATATAAATCGTTTTATTGATTAACTGTTTATGAAAGATAACTTTGACGTACACGAGCGACCGGTACCGGCTGCTGTCACCTGTTGTGATTGGTTAAAGCAGCTCTCTGCTGTCTGAGGGTAGGCCCCGCCCACAACGCCGCTGCTGCTGTGGCTCCCAGTGTTTTCTTTACTGTGGGAAACGGGTAATAACAGCTCTTTGATGGGAACAGGTTGCCGACCCCTGAATTAGCCTAATAAATGGGACATTACATATTTCCAGGTGAAATCAGAGTTATTTTTACGACACTTACTATGTACATAGACATATTATACATCTATAACTGTTGATGTAATAAACACTTTAGTTAAACCACAGAATAGAGCCATCCCCCAAAACTATTTTTACATCATCATAGGTCCAATAAAAGCAATCAAAAAATACTTTGTCCACAGTAGGGCTGTAGCGAAGCCTCGACGAAGTCGACGGCTCGATTCTAAAAATTTGTCGACGTCAGATCCGGAAGTCGACGCACCGCGCCCACTTGTTGCATCCCCAGGAGTTTGTAAATAGAGGAGGAATCTGCCCGTTTTTCCTCTAGTTCGCCCTCTTCTCCGCCTTCACTAACATCTCCGCCAAATACCGAAGACCCGGAACAATGTCCGTCCACTACTAGATTATTTTCCTGTTTTGCCCGCCTTCGTCTCCCGGCAACGGACAACAACTTCCGGGGTCAGATGCGCTGCTTCGTGTCTATCGCAGATGTAGAAAATCACCGGGAGCGTTTCTCCCTTCATAAAGGAGCTTCTTTCAGACATGAGGAGAGCTGTTTTGGTGGTAGCAGTCTCTCCTCCGTGCTGGTCTGTTTGCTGCTGGGTGTTTTTGGTTTATTTAAACTTGGTAACTTGAACTTAACGTTGGTAAAGCTACTGTTAGCATCTTCGCTAACAGCTTCTTGCGTTGGGATAAGCTGTTACGTTTTGGTTTAGAGTTCATCTTTTTTGTGGTGTAGATCTCCCTTTTATTACATTTAGAGTGTTGTGGGTTTTCGGTTTAGTGTAAAATATCACCTGAGTTTGGTTTAACCCGTAACACCACTCGCCTCACGCACATAAGTGACCAAAACAAAGCAGCATGGAGACACTCCATCTTCTACCACCTCTCAGGCAGCAGCCTGCACTCCCAAGTTCTACACGTCACCAGAACATAACCAACCGCAACACAATAAAAGCAGTGTTATACAAAATGGAAGGCCTGTAGTGTTTATTCTCTTACAGTAAGAATTTATCAATTTTTTTGAGGAATTTATTTGAGATTTTCTGGTTTTTGTTAATTGTGCAATAGAAAAATAATCATTAGATTAGTTTTCTAAATAGTCATTAGAATAGTCGACTATTCGATAAAATAATCGTCAGAATAATCGTTTTAAAAATAATCGTTTACCCCCAGCCCTAGTCCACAGCAAGTCTTATGTCCACAGTCCAGAGTAACGCACTGCAGAATTGTTCCAGTTGCATTTCTTTCTATAACTCTTACTCTAAAGAGTTGTGAGGGTGCTACTTTGTGTGTAACTCGTGGCTTTCTTATGTTTTTCCTGTTTTCACTTTGCAAAAAGAAAATCCAACATCTTTGTAAGCTACACATTGTTTTAAACATGTATGTTGGCTTAGGCTCAACACATGAAAAGTAAAAGTTATGGTGTGTGTGTATATATATATATATATATATATATATATATATATATATATATATATATATATATATATATATATATATATATACTTTTTTCCCCTGTGCATTAAAATTTTTTTTGTATAATCATTTTACTGTTTCCCGTCCCCGGCTATGGGTTTGCTCCTGTTCTACGCTGATTCCTCTAAAGCATTTAGTCCGCCTCCTTATCCATGTCTGCGCCCCCTCCGTCTGCCCCAGCAAAGCCAGGGTTAAACCTGGGCGTCACTCTACCCTGGCATGGAAGAGGCCATGGAATGGTTGCCTCCCCCAGCCAGCAAACACATTGGCTGAAGCTGAGGGTGGATCTGGGGCTGCGGCGGTTCTCTGGTATGGATTGTGGACTGGAGCTGGATCAAGGAGCCCTCGCTCCTGTTACTTGATGCAGTGGTTGTAGCACGTGGTACACACACACACGCACTCACACATGCGCACGCACACACACACACACACACACACACACACACACACACGCGCACACACACACACACACACACACACACACACAGCAGACATACGAGAGGGGGAGGGCTAGCTGAGAGCTGTGTGCGTTTGTCTGTGTGAATCAGAGAGGACTGTGTGCTGCGGAGGGTTTACAGCTCATAGTAAAGAATAGTAGAGGAGCGACCCCTGCGTGACCCCCCCATCGGTTTAGCTTGGGCTTTTATTCCTCCATTAGCCATCGTCTCTCTCTGTGGTCGTAACCCTTCTGTCCCCAACAATAATACTCTTTTTTTTTTACCGTTTATTAGACCACCGGTTCTGTCTCCCCTCACCTGTCCTCTGCTCAGGCAGGGCAATGGGCATCCCTCCAATGCAGAAAGAAGGGGGGGTCCTAACAGCAGCCTTGGCAATGAGAATCCTCGTGTCATGTCCTCACAGAGGTGACATCAGGCAAACACATTTCAGCATGAATAAATATTCATAAATAATGAAATGATCTGTAATCTACCTAATGCAACAGTTATTAGCTATGATCCCTCTGGGTTTTTCACCAGCTTGTACACAAGTTTTGATGTGAAGGTGGGGTCTGCTGAAACATCTGTGACCTGCAGACACGGCGCAGGTCAGACCTGACTGCTCACCTGACAATCTGCTGGTGGATGCAACAGATTTCCCTGCAGGTCAAATAGCTTTCAGCCCTTCAGCTGCCGATCAGGTTGTTTCCATGGCGATGAGCCACTGCTGCTGTTCACCATTGAGTGCAAACTGTGATCACTGACATATGGGCCCTTGGTGTTTGTCTAGATGAATGTTTACAGATTGAGCTTTTTTTGTGTGTGTTTTTAAATCTGATTGTGAGTTGGAGTAAAAACATCTTAAACCTTCACAAAGAGTTCAAGCTCAATGAGAATTGTGCTTCTGGTGTGTGGAGGGTCACGAGAGCCTGTCATCGACCAGTCACTACAGCAGTGAAGCATATAACAAAAAACAAGGAGCTGTAGTTCTGCAAAAATGCCACATGTGCGTGCCTCTATTCTCCCGTATTTTTTTTCATTTCATGTTCTTTTAATGCATTAAATGCAGCAAAGTATCACTGATTTATGTGTGTTTGTCCCTGGATGGCCTGATATTAACCCATTATGTCCCCTTTCTCCTGTTATCTTGTCTATTCTTAGTGTGCATGGATAAATGCAAACATGGATCCTGCAGCCCCCAGGGCCAGTGCTGCCATGATCAGTGCCTGGGTGGCTGCTCTGAGCCGGGCAACGCCAGCAGCTGTGTGTCCTGCAAGAACCTGCATCACGGGAGCACCTGTGTGGAGAAATGCCCTCCTGAATACTACATCTTCAACGGCTGGCGCTGCGTCAGCTACTCCTTCTGCAAGGTTGATGCTGCATAAATTTATAAGTCATCATATCAATTGTGTGTGGTGAATGTAGCATGAAGAAGTCAGTCAGCGTGCTAGCTGTGATGCTAACAGATGCTTCAGAGAAACCTGGGAGAAACAAAACTTTAAATCGAGATTTCTTTAAAGCTAATTTGCAGATACAGCCACATTATTCCCTCTGTTGAAGCAGCTCTAAACGAAAATATCTCAGAACATTTAATCCTACAAACATTTTTAAACAAATGTTACATCGGTTTGTGCCATTTTGCCATTATTGTAGCCACAAATTTTAGCAACATATTTTGTGCAAAAATAGATCACATCATGTAAAATAATAAACATTTAAAAGTAAATGACAAGAAAAAATGTTTAAAAAAAATAAAGCAAATGTTATTTTTAAAATCTATTTCCTTCATTGCTTTTAAACTAAAATAATGCTTTTTGATAGTTATTTATCTCTTGTCATGTATTCTTTTTACCTCGTAGCTTGTCTGCCATGATGTGTTCATAGTAGTCGTGATTGATTGTGGAGAACAAGCAAACTAATAGATCTAATGTGAAAAAGCATCCATCTAAATAAAACACTAATGTCAAAAGTTGCTTTAGACAGAATAAAGTCCCTTTCCCTTGTGGCTTCCTCCTGGGTCTCTGCTACTTTGTTTATTTATAAATCCTCAGAATCTTCAGACATCACTCTGAGCTCAGTCTACTGCAGATTCTAAACAAACCTCTGACGCTTGAAACAATGCTGAGAATGCTTCAGCCACAGGGTGAACTCCTGTTCTTCCTCTCACTTTGAACCCAGGACCTTCACCAGCAGTGTGTGGAGACTAAACGACGGCAGAACCAAGAGTCCGGCTGTTACGAGTACGTGATCCACAACGGGGCCTGCATTCCAGAGTGCCCTTCTGGATACAGCAGTTTAAACTCCACTCGGTACGTCGGCTCCACAAATGACACACAAACACACCTGAAGTGCCACCATCAACACGACAACAACAAATGTGCTGTGCTCACTGAACACAGTAAGGTTTGTACACAACAGACGCTGCCAGGACATTGGCGAGTAGCGGCGTATGTCCGCCAAAACGGTGAACACAGCTTTCTGAATTCCCATTTCAATGTGTCAGTTTAAACCGTTTATTCAGGACATTTTATTTAGACATAGATTAGAATAGAATAGACTTTATTAATCCCACTGTGGGGAATTTCACTCGTCAAAGCACCACATATACTTAGAGAAAAGGAAAAGGGAAAAAGAAAAAATAATAACAAGATGCAGTGTTTTTACAAGCTGTCAACGCCTGTTTGTAACAACTTTTCTATTTTAAACACTAGTAAAGCACAATCTCACCTCGGTGAGACTTCTTTCCACTGCATGTGAAAGCGCCGTGAAACGGCCGTGTAAAGTGGCAAATAGCCGCTGTTATAGTGAATAAGTTCCTTTCCACTGCAGCAAAGTGTAACATTTTGACACGCCCCAGAAGCGAGGGGGTGCTATCATTACGTTTTGAGTCAACTTTTTATCCACTAAACTTCCAAAACACGTCAAAGGCCCGATCCCAATACTCGCACTGTGCCCTGCGGTCTTCAGCCAAGTGCACTTGGAGAAAGTGTGCAGTAGGGTTCGAGCGCGTAGTACACAAGTGTGCAAATAATTGCCGAATTGAGACAGGGAGCGTTGTGTCATCAATTGCAATGCATCCCGGGATGCTGGTTGCAGTGAAACTTTTTTCAAAAACCTTTATTAAGAACTTTCAAACAAACAACAAAGCACATTTTTTTAATAAATTCAACTTCATTGCTGCTTTGCCTAAAACATTCAGAGCATCCAATAATCATCCTAAAATGAACTAATTTCATTAGAAAATACATATTTTCAGAAAAGGAACTCGAGCCTTTTCTCCCGCAGCAATGACTTGTGGGTAATACGCATGCCCGAGGTCCGCATTGCTGCGGACTTGGGTGAAGTGCAGATTAAGGGTGCAATAGGGTGTGGTCAACTTCTGCACTTGAGAATCGGGACACCCTACGCACTCACACCCCTGGCCGGGAAGGCGCAACTGAAGGGCGCAAGGGTGCGAGTGCGAGTATTGAGAATGGCCAAACACTGCAGTTTATATTGCACCAGACAGGAAGTCAAACACAAAAGCAGTGTAAAACATCCAGAAACGTTCCTAAAAGTCACATGCAGGTAAACGTACGTCATTTCCTGTTAAAACCCCCGTAGTCGATGTGAACATAACAGAAAATAAACCACAGACCTTTTTTGAGACATGCAGCTGTCTTTCTCCCTGCTCGTTGTTGTGTGTGTACTTCTGAAATCACTCGTGGCGTTACAATTCCTCTATCATATTGTGACATCATGGGATCGCTCCTGTTTCACACCAGAATTGCTCCCGATAGGGAATGAGCTTGCGGGTAACGCAGCTGTTACGTTACGCGACCGCTTTGACATCCAGTGGAAAGAAGGAGTGACAATAGGTGAGCAGCAACATAAAAGCCACATCTCCTTTACAGCGCAACTGCAGCACAAAAACAAACCAGTGCTAAATCGAGCTGGAATTAGAGCAAAGATGTTATTTCCATGAGTTACAAAACCAGAGCTTCTAGTCTCACTCAGCTTCCAGTGAGTCTTTCTCAGCCTCTGGAACATTTTGTCTGGATTGATTTTCAGAGGTTAATTCAGTGAAAACCGGATTCAGTTGCATTTATTTCTGTATTCAGATCAACTAGAGTTTAAAGAGCTCTAAAAGAATCATCTGCATAAAGCGACCGGTTTAAGCGCCGGCCGCTGATTAATGTGGAACAAAGGGTTCACTGGAGTGAAATAATAAGGCTTTTCTCCTTTCTCGAAGGCCTGTCTGGGAGACGTTTGTTTATTATATCCAGTTTAATAATAATAATAATAATAAAGTAAATAAGGTGTACAGATTTGATCTGTTCAAAAGCTTGTAAACAAATAGCTCCACGTCTAAGGAGGATGAGGTAATATGCTTCTGACCTCCTCCTCTAACTTCAAATTGGGTTGGGCCAAAAGGTCGGCCAAGTGCCTCTAAAAACAAAAGCAGCAAAAAAAAAAAAAAAAAAAAAACACCGCCCTGTGCAGTGAACAAAGTCACGACCTTTTTCTGTATTTGTGAAGGAGGTCAAAGGAAAATCACTGGTGCACTTATTTAGTCCAATACCTGTCGCTAAGCAGGAATGATGTGTTTTTGTTTTGAGGCCTAGCGGGTGTTTTGGAAACTGTTCATGTTGACATGCTTCATAAACATGGCAGGAAGTGAAACACGTTCTCTTGTCTTTAAGTGGAATTTTGTCCGTGTGTTGGAAACTTTGTGTGCAGGCCTAGTGTTGGGATTTATCACACAACAAACCTACCTGCGTACATTTGTACAAATAAAATAATGAAATTAATAAAATGAATTATAGTCTCAAAGGCAGCTGATGTAACTCATAAACCTTTAAAAATCCTTATATTTGGCGTTTCAAATTCTGTTTAATTCCATTCAATAAAAATTACTTACAAAATGGTCCATAATTCTGCTACTTAGGGACACGGTCATGCAAGATCTTAATAAGAACAAATGCAGTGTTCTTCACTCAGATGTTTCTCTTTCATCCACTATTCCTCTGTAGTTTTGGCTAAAACATTCTCCATAACCTTCATTTCATCTTAAAAAATCTAATCAATTTAAGAATGTCTCTCTACATATTTAGTCATTTTCTATGATAATGTGGTCAGATGAAGCAGCATTATCACAGAAATATCATTTCCACCTTTAACCCTTAAAATAGATTTTATTGTTGCTCAGAGTTGCCCTAATTATTTTTTGAGCTGGGTTTGGTATATTTATGTTACCTGTTAAAACTATAAAAGTTAAAACTCTCCTACTCGAAGGGGTAGAAAACAAAATGAGGCCTGGAGGCCAGCAGAACCCCTGACTGCTGAAGGCACAGCCTTTTTATCCCAATGCATCCCAATGGCCAGGCTGGTAGCCGTCACAACATAAAATACAAACCAAGGATAAAATTCCAGCTGTGAAAGGCCATCAGAATACTTGTGTTGATAAAATACAAGAAGAGGTTTAGAAAAAGCACATAGAATAAAATAGTGAACTCAATCCCAGCTGTCCAACCAAGAGATCAAAAGAAGGCAGAACTCAGATGCCAAAACTAGCAAACTAACCGCTCCCAAAGTTGGATTTTAAAAAGTGTGTCCTAAGACAGGACTTAAAAAAGTTGACGTGAAGTGGACAGTCTCATCACTCGGAGGAGGTCATTCTAAAATTTTGGGTCGAGATAACCAAAAGCTCGTTAACGTTGCCTTGTTGCGCTTTTGGGACGTTCAGAAGTTGGTATTAGTAGTAAGTTCGATTACGGGGGTAGGGGACAAAATTTTTGTGCATATTTTTGTATTTAAAAAAAACTTGACGCAGTAGTTACTTTTCCTAGTAATTAGTTACTTTTTGATATTGTAACTAAGTTACTAACTCATTTACTTTTTTGGAAGAAGTAATTCAAAGGGACTTGCCCAACGCTCTGCTCTGTAGTGTGTAGAACATTTGCACAGTGCTGCACCGTTCATATTCAAAACCAGTTCCGTGGCCTTGTGGCACGAGTGCCCGCCCTGGGACCGGGAGATCGGGTCTTACCAAAGACTTGCTTGACACTCAGCATTAAGGGGTTGGATGCGGTGTTAAACCACCAAATGGATCCCGGCTGTGTCTGCAGCTCACCGTTCCCCCAGGGGATGGGTCAAATGCGGATAACAAATTTCATGCACCTGTGTGTGTGTGACAACTAATGAGACTTTAACTTTAACTTTATACACACTGTATGATAAAACACTTTTCCATTTGAACAAGGTGGCAACATTACAGCCTGTGTGCGTTTTTCTTAAAGCAAGAACGCACGTCATCGCAGTGGCTTAGTCTGTCAGAGTCTAAACCATCGACACACACACACACACACACACACGCACGCACGCACGCACGCACGCACGCACACACACACACACACACCGATGACTTCAGAAGATGTCACACTGACCAACATTGCTTTCATAATGATTTACCTTTACTGTAACCATAGCTACTGCTTGTATAACCTAAATACGTCCTCACATACCAAAACCTAATGATCTGTGTTATGGCCCCTGTCTCTCCGTCTCTGTTATGTCCCTGTGTGTGACTGTGTGTGCAATACCTGGGTAGTACCCAAACAACCAGAGAAACAGAGATTTGTTCTGACCAGATTGATGAGCTAACAGCTAGTCCCATCCGCGTCTTTTTCAGAAATGCCATGGTGGTTAATAAAAATACTGTTTTATAAACTCCAGTTAGATAAAGACAGAAAATGTTATTAAATTCGGACTGGAACTGTGTAAAACTTAGTTAGCTACCTTGCTAAGCTGCTCATTTTCTTTGCAACAAGACAGAATTTGCTTTGAAAAGTTCAAATCTATTCCCCTAATGAGCGCTTAAGATTAAAGATCATTGTTGGAAACTTCCCTCGGGCTGAGTCCAACCCTCTTAAGTCGAACAATAAATCTGAATAATAAACGTTCATTGATCTGCGAGCGGTGACTTCATTTATTTGTAGGGACCAGATGTTCCTGCTTGGATCCTCTTTGGGATGTTCTTGACTTTCCCTTCAGACGCTTTTCATTAAACAGATTTAGCTAATGTTTTCTAATGTATCTACACTCGTGTACTGTTTGAGGTGATTTCGGCCTTCTTTTTTGGACAACCTGACAACGTTCACGCACACTCACAGCTGGTCGGGTTCGGTCAGGGTTTGGCCGAGACCGAACCTTGAGCGTCAGCTGTAGACAGTGCTCTGGATGGCTCTAACAGACCCCGGAGTCACAGGGTTCAGATAAACACCGGCCCTTTAAAAAGCCAGCCTGTCTGCCTGTGAGTCTGTGTTTTCAGTGCAGCAGCCCAAAACATTCTCCCTTTCTGTGCCGCAACTGGAGCGTTACTTTGGAGAAGCTGGATATAGCATTTTCCATGTGGGAAAAACAGACAACCTACCCTTCAAATTTTTTGTATTAGTTATTGTTTGGGGAGCTTGTTACTTTTGTCTCCTCTCACACAAAAGCTCAGAGAGGAACCGACGAGTTGGCTTCTGACTGCGGTGATTTATTCAGAGTTTGATGAGATGGAAACTGAGGCGCCAGGAGTGTGAAAGACCATTTGGATCCAAGTGGCATCACTTGGACTAAATAACGAGGGTGTAGATGTTATAGGGGGGAAAGTGGGGGTGTTGTTCTGGTAAGGGTGTGAAGATGAGACCGAGGTTTTCACATGAACAGCAGTCTGCTCAGCTTAAAACTATTAAATGCTGATTTAAATCCTCTACTAATCAGGCTCTTGCCTGAATTGTCGCCTTTTTTTAAAAATTATTAGACAAATTTGACCATAACTTTTTCCTTTCCCCTGAGTGATAAATCCCTGTTGCATGTGCAGCTTTATGCAGAACAAAATAAAACGGATCATGTCCTTCAGGGGGTTTTAGGAGACAAAGTGCGTATTTGTGAATAAAGCATCCCACTGCTTGCCGTACAGCGTGTTCACTCATCAGACGACAAGATGTTCTTATCCTGACCATCCCTGTGTGAAGACCTGATGGCGCAGAGGGTGTGTTTGGGTATGTGATGCAGTGCATGTTTGCAAGGGGGAGGAAGTTACGTACCAAAGAGGCTGTTGGGAACTGCAGCCATGTTGTTTTTGTGTAGTTTCTAAAGCACTGATGTGGAGAAGAGCAAGTTGAATCTGATGTTATTTGTTAGATGATTTTTCCAAACTACGTCAGAGAAGCTCTCTCCTTTTTGATTTTGGAGTCGTCATTCATTCAGGTGCCGCTTTGCGTTTTTAGACGTAACGCGAGGAGAAAAGTGGAAATCTGCTTCGTAGATTGAGCCGTGGAGTTAAATTTCCCAAGCCTTCCTACCAGTTGGTTTTCCTTGTTCCATTTCTGATAACTGAACACGAGCCTGTTGATGTTTTTCTTCCTTGGTCTTAATGAATTTGTCATTAATCTGTTCTCCTTCCGTGTGTGCAGGCTGATGTGTAAGCCGTGCGCGGGCCCCTGTCCTAAAGAGTGTAAAGGAAATAAAACCATTGACTCTGTGACTTCGGCTCAGGCTTTACGAGGATGCACCGTTATTGAAGGCAACGTGATCATTAAGATCCGAGGTGGAAGTAAGTAGCGTTGCACGTGTCTGTGGCTTCTGGTCTTTCATCCTGACCTCCTGTCTTTACTTGAACTCTTGCAGATAACATAGCAGCTGAGTTGGAGGCCAGTCTGGGACAGATTGAGGAGATCAGAGGTTACCTGAGCATACGCAGAGCCTACGCCTTGGTCTCCCTCTCCTTCCTACGAAAACTACGCCTCATCAAGGGGGAACAACTCGAAGGAGAGTAAGTTCCTCCCCTTTTACCTTCAGCTACAGTTTTCTATCGTTCTTTTTGTTTAACGTCTTTATTCGCCTTGTTTCTCCTTAGTATTTATGCCTTCTACGCACTGGACAACCAGAACCTCCGTCAGCTGTGGGACTGGTCCAAACACAACCTGACAATAGAGCACGGTCGTACGTTCTTCCACTACAACTCCAAGCTTTGCATGTCTGAAATCACCAAGATGGAGGAGGTAACTGGAACCAAAGAGCGCAACCAGAAGAACGACATTGCTCTTCGCACCAACGGAGACCAGGCTTCCTGTAAGAACCTCTGGAGCCTCTACTAACACATCCACCTCATCACTCCCTTTACATTTGTATTATTTTTCTACTTCAGTAACGTACCAAGAAACAAAAACCCATGAAACCTTAAAATCTTTACCCACAAGCTTAAACTTCATCCAGATTCAACTTGCTGGATGTGTCTGACGAGTTGTTTTGTCTTAGGCGAATCAAAGAGTCTGAATTTCACCCACGTTAAGACGTCACACAACATGATTATGTTGAAGTGGAACTCATTCTGGCCCTCGGACTACAGGGACCTGCTGGGATTTATGGTTCTCTACAAGGAGGCGTAAGTTGGATTCCTACACGCAAATGGCCCTGGAGTATAAACATTACACTTAATGCCCCCATCTTTGAAATGATGATGCTGAATGAGCTGGTTTAAACTTGGCTGCTTCTACTTCAGTCCGTACAGGAATGTGACAGAGTTTGATGGACAGGACGCCTGTGGATCAAACAGCTGGGTGATCGCAGACGTAGATCCACCAGCCCGCTCCACAGATGGCAAGAAGGCCGATGATCCTGGGCACCTGATTCGTCCATTGAAACCCTGGACGCAGTACGCCATCATGGTCAAAACCCAGCTGTCTGCTTCTGATGAGCGACAGGTTTATGGAGCCAAAAGCAAAATCATTTATGTCCGCACTAATGCCTCCCGTGAGTTCAAATCTGAGATTTTCTGCTTTTGTTTGGTGTGGTTCAAACTGTCCTAATCTCTGAACTGAAGGCAGCAGGATTAACCGTTTCTTTTTCCTCCAGGACCTTCTGTACCTCTGGACCCCATCTCATCCTCCAACTCCTCCTCTCAAATCATCCTGAAGTGGAAACCGCCGAACAGCCCCAACGGCAACATCACCCACTACCGGGTCATCTGTCGTAAACAACCAGAGGACAGCGACCTCTTTAAGTTTGACTACTGCTTACAAGGTCTGTCTCCAGCTGGCTCGGCCGCTGCTTGTCTCCATCTTTTGTCAGGCTTTCGCCTCACCCATGCTCCTCCTGTCCAGGGATGAAGCTTCCATCTCGAATTCCAACCCACCTCGACCTCGAAGAAGAGCAGAAATGGAACCACACGGATGATCCCACCTCAGAGGGCAAATGTTGTGCCTGTCCCATGACAAAGAGCCAGATAGAAAAGCAACAACAGGAAATAGAATACCGCAAGACTTTTGAGAATTACCTCCATAACGAAGTCTTTGAGAGCAGGTAAGCAAGTCTAGACACCTCAGGGTGAAGATCACGTTTTAGCCGTCTGTTTTATTTTTGGAGAAGCTGCAATTTCACCGTTCTGGTCAGGGTGCAGCATTTACAGCTCGGTAACAATGTAGCACACACAGCGCACCCTAAAGGGGGTTTACAACTGACCTTGTGTTGGTGGTGGGTGTCATCTCAGCCAAGGTTCTTTTGTGTGTGTGTGTGTGTGTGTGTGTGTGTGTGTGTGTGTGTGTGTGTGTGTGTGTGTGTGTGTTCTCTGTAGACCCTTGTTTTTGTACTGAACATCTCTATGGGGGCTCAGAATGGGAGGTTTTGTGTATTTGAACTTTAATTCTACACACACACACACACACACACACACACGCACGCACGCACACACACACACACACACACACTGTCATTTTTTTCCTATCTGCCTCTTTGGGGGAGTGATTACCGTGCCCATTATCATCCACGCCGGTCAGAGAAGCAGTCATGCAGACAGCCCTTTGGAGACACAAACACCGCCTCACACACTCCTCAGATTCATTTTGATCCTGTGATTTTGAACTGGTCTTTGGTCCAAACAACCATCGCTGTTCTTTTTTAGTCCACTAAGCAAAGAAATCATCAGCTTCAACCCCGTCCTCCACCTCTCGGCACGCCAAGGTGTTAGTTTTTGATGGAGCTTTGAGCTGATGGCATCCGTGGTTTTAGTGAAAACTGCTGCTGGTGGAATAAGTTTTGCTCACTGGCGCCACACAGCGGAAAGAGTTGTTTGCTCCACCAACATTGAATAAATGTCATGACCTCATCACTTGTTGGTTTCCCTTTATAGCTGCTCCATTTTTCATCTGCAAAATAACATTCCTGTCCTCTGATCTCAGCCCCTTGGTCTTGGATCTTATTCATTTTGATAATTTCTGTTTTTCATCCAGGTCGCCCCGTGAACGGCGCTCAGTGGACAAACCGGACACAACACAGTTTCCCTTATTTTTTACAACGATATCTAGTCTGCAGCTTGGCTCCACCACCGCCTCATCTACAGAGGAAGACGAGAACGAAGAGGGATCCAAGGTCTACAACACTGAATGAAATCTGTTATAGATTAGTGTTTGCCTACAAGTTCAACTAAAACGGCTTTTAAGTTTTTTTAGAAAAAAAAAATTAAAACACCTTGCAAAAAATTATTTTTGTGTAAAAGAGAAATGCTTTTTATCTGTATATATTTTGAATCCCATCCCATAATTTTCCTGCTCAGGTGGAGCTGAATGTTACCTCTAAGGAGTCAGCAGTCATATCCAACTTGCACCATTTCACCAGCTACACCATCGAGATCATGGCCTGCAACCACCCTGAAGACCCCAAACGCTGCAGCCTGGCGACTTACGTCAGTGCCCGAACGATGCCAGAAGGTGAGATATCAAACTATTTTTGCTTCATCTAAACATACAGATTTACTTTTAGTTTGATTTTGATCAAATGACACCCGCTTGTGCATTGGTCACATAAAAAAACACAAAGTATACCATCATCACGGGTGCAAAATGCTAGGTAGAGATCAGTTTGCTCAAATATTTCTGTCTTTGTGTGGCTCTGGCAGAAAAAGCAGACGATATCCCAGGTCCTGTGACTCACGATGTTGTGGTCGCTGAACCTCCCTACGTGTTGATTAAGTGGAACGCGCCTCGATCCCCCAATGGACTCATCATCCTTTACGAGGTTTTCTACAAGAAGGTCGGAGACACAGAGGTACGTGTCAACAACACGGTAACATGGAGTGCTCCTGACGTCAGGCATAAACCTTTACCCAAACAACGCAGATTAAAACTACACTACACACACATCTAATTAAGGACTCCCCCACCTTCGATAATTTGGATAAAACACACAAAACACATACCGACTACAAAAAAGGATACAAAGCATGCTGAGGAGACAGCAGGCCAGAGACAGATGTCTCCGTTTGCTCCTCGCTGAGGGTGGGTTCAGGCGTGTTTTAGGCCGATTGTGAACTGGGTGCTTTAGGGCGGAGCGAGGTAGAGTGGGATGAGACAGCTGTTGTAGAATAGCGCCTCTCAGCACAAGGATGAAATCAGAAGGGAAAGAGGAGCATGCACTAAAAGAAAAACAAATGGCTGTGGCCGTAACTGAGAAACTTTGTCAAATCTCATTCTGAATGCCTTCCTGTGCTCATCTCGGACTCTACTCGATGAGATCTTGGACTGCCGGACATCTAAGGTTTTGAGTAAAGATGACGCCTGGCTCAGCTCACACCATCGGATCAGTCCGGATGTTTCAAAACAGAAATGGGAGCTGGACCTGGGTGTTGGATTGTCAGAAAAGGTCTGGCACAAGACGTGAGACACAGTATTATTTAGCTCAAAGTGGTGCACCATTTGCTTTGGTCCAAAGACAGACTGCAATAATGAAGCCAGACTTAGACCCAACTTGTTCTGGACCTGCCTGACACGACAGGGATATTGGAGGCCCAATTTTGATGAACTCTCTAGGATTTGTGCGACCACTGTGCACCCTGACCCCTTGACTGCTCTGTTTGTGGTGGTCACAGTGGACGATACAGCAGATGGTAGCCAACAGCACATAATAGCTTTATGCTATTTGTGAGCCATCCTGTCCGAGTGGAACGATGCTCGGCCTCAACCACTTTATTGGAGAAATTATGAATCATTTGGACCTGGAGAGGATCAGACATGGTCTGAAAGGGTCAGCTGACAATTTTGATGTTGTGTGGCAATTGTTTGTCTCCTATTTTTAAGAATGTACCATAAGACAATTGGTGATTGTTTCTATTACTATGTAAACTTGTTTTTGTGTACACACTAACGCTTTCTAGTGGGTGGGTGTGTCCGTGTTGAACTTTGACTGTGTGTGCAACAGCATGTGTGTTCAGTGTTGTTGTTTACTTGCAGCAAATGTGTAAATAATCTCACTGCTATTCATTGCAGCACCACCATCAGCAACTCTGTTGCTATAGTAACAGAAGCAGAAGGCTCTAATGCAGCAGTGATGGAGGTGCATCTCCACTGCACTACTCTGAAAGCATTGCAAACTTCAGCTCTTTCAAACAACCGATGCATTTTTCATTTAGGTTATTATTGGTATAATTATGATTATTAAAAAAAATATCACTGGATGGGCAAAAAAAATGTGTCCATTTACTATAAATTCTACCAACTTCTCCATCAACTATAAAACCAAGCTGTTTTTCTGACTAGTATAAAAGAAACCAAACAAGTGACTCGGGTGAACAGCAGAAGTCAGACTAGATAGTCACAAAAATTTTTCTACCTCATAGGTCAGAGAATTATTGAAATTCAGTGAAGCATTTCCTTCTCACCTATTGGTGTTTTTAAAGCTGCGTACATGTTCAGCATATTTTGCTAAATGACCATTTCCATATTCTCTTTGCTAAATCCATTTTTATGGTTTGGGTGAAGTAGCTGCTTTTCCTGTCGCCCTCACTGATGCTAAACTGTGTTTTTCATATGTTCTTCCAGGTTCACACAGTTTGTGTGTCACGGCCGGCTTACGTCAACATGAGCGGGACCAAGCTCCACCTTGTTCACCCTGGAAACTACAGCGTGAGGGTTCGGGCTACGTCGCTGGCAGGAAACGGCTCTTTTACAGAAACGACGTACTTCTTCATGCCTAATCGTAAGACTGGAGACTCCATCTCTAACTTAACTAAACTTTTGGTATTTGTTTGCATTTGTTAAAGGGGACATAACACTTTTTGCATCTTTTTGTGCTGCCATGTGGGTCTCTACTGTCTTTATAAAAAATCCTAACATGGGGAAAATGTTTAGTTTTAGGAATTATTTGCCTAAAACAATCCGTTTCAAAAGGTCCCTGTTTGTGATATCACAAATGGGGAAAGTAGAATAGAACAGTTTCTCATGTGCAAGAAAGAGCTGCTGCTGGAGGAGCAGCCAATAGCATCCTGAGTGGGTGACTGGTGGGCGTGGCCGGTCTGCAGCTTGTTTTCTTAAAGTGACAGAGCCCTGAAAAGGCTCATTCTGGAAGTTATGAAACTTATCAGAATTAAAACCGCTGATATGGCTCTATGTGAGAGGGATTTTTTTTACAAAGAGCTTCATAAACATATTTTACACTGACAATAGAACTATTAGAACCTAATAAAAAAGTCCCAATATGCCTCCTCTAATAACCCACAGGCTACAACCTGGTTCAAGTCTATTTCACAAGTTTATTATTACATTTTGTACCTAATTTATCTTTTTCCACTGTGAAACTCTGCCGTTCTCCAGCTGAACTGACTCTTTGTTTACTGCAGCTGATCCGGGTTTAGCTTGGATTGTGATCGGCCCGATCATCTTGCTCATTCTGCTGCTGTTCCTGGCTGCTGGTGTCATTTTGGTTATCAAGAAGAGGTGAGATGTGACATCATCATCAAGTGTGCTGTTGTGTCGTGAGATCATTTACAGCATCTCAGATTTATTTTTTTTCCTGTGGTTGTGTTGCAGGCAAAGTGATGGTCCATTAGGAGATCTCATCACATCTCCAAACCCTGAATACTTCAGCGCCAATGACAGTAAGAGTCTTGTAACACAACTAAAACACATCTGAATACGTTTTCCAGCAAAATTTTGCAGCTAATGTCTAAAATTGAAATATACGGCAACCTGTTTCTACAAACACCGACAGCAGTTGAAGGAGCGTAAAGAGAACCAAAATCAAAAGAAATGTTAAAGCTGCTGCCTGTGGCTCATTTGCGTTGCCAAGGTAACCACAGTCTTGTGATACCCTAAAGTTAAACCTCAAACTAATAGTTGCTGTGCATAAACTATTGACCATCTTCAAAACGGTCGTGATCAATGAGAGGCGGAAGAGTGTGATGGTCGTACATTTATTAATGTTTGTGTCTGAGTTTTATGTAAGAGATACAGTTTTTAATAAAAAATAAAACTTAAAAAAAAAAAAAAGGAATTTCAGGTGAACTGGAGGGTGTACACCAGGGCTATTCAATTCCAGCACGTTGTAGTGGTTTCTCTAGTCCAACCCACTAGAGTCAGTGGTTGAATTACCTACGCAGCAGCTCATCAGGCTTTGCAGAAGCCTGTTAATCGCCTACTAATTAAAATCAGGTGTGTTGAAGCAGGGTTAAAACCTAAACGTGCTGGATACCGGCCGCCCAGGCCCGGGATTGAATCCCCCTGCTGTACACACTTAACTCAGAATTTTTGGGCGAAAGAAGTCAGAAATGTTTCACATTTAATGTGTATTAAAAACACCCGTTGTGTGTGAAGTTTAAGTTTTCAAATATTGAGGAAAGCTATGTCACATGAAGTAGAAAAATTTGCACCATAATCAAAAATTTGTTTAAAAACCATAAAACGTTTCAGTTCTGTTGTTTCTGATAAAGATCCTTTTCTTTTGTAAGTTACAAAAAGTCCTTTTTTCTCTCTATTTGTCTTCTCTGTTCAAGACACCCATAAAAATCTTGGTTTTTTGTGCAGTGTACGTCCCTGACGAGTGGGAGGTGCCCCGGGAGAAGATCACGCTGCTCCGAGAGCTGGGCCAGGGCTCCTTCGGCATGGTGTATGAGGGAAATGCTCAGGACATTGTCAAAGGAGAGCCCGAGACGCGCGTCGCTGTCAAAACGGTCAACGAATCAGCCAGCCTGCGAGAGAGGATCGAGTTCCTGAACGAAGCGTCCGTCATGAAGGCCTTCAGCTGCCACCACGTGGTACGAAAACCCTCTTAGAACGTCCAGCGGGCTGCTGACTCACAGCACCTCACTGCTCTTTTATCCTTTAGCTGCAACCAGTGCGTGTCTCAGAGAACCGTGACTCACGTGTTGTGTTGGAGCTGCCATACTGACACACAGTTTGACTCCAAAACAAATGTTCACACTCAGTAGGCGATTGCGGCGGCCATTACTATTTCATTACACAAGCTACTAGGCATCAATTGAGCCAGCATGTGTTGTGCTGTCAGCTGTGAAAACATGTTGCGATGAGAGAGAATTTTATTATTTACCACCTCAGGAGGAGATAATTCATATCGGAGCTGTTATTAATTCATGTAGGAGCTTGAAAAGCTTTTATACTTAACACACACAGAGATTTCAGAGTAGAGGCCGTCCGATATATTAAATTTTTTCTATATCGGCTAAAATTATTTTTAAAAGCCAATAAAAACGTTAAAAAAATTAAGCAGGCACCTTTGTGGCCAACTGCCGCCACTACTATGCTGAAGAAAGGACCCGAAGAACCCAACACACCATTTCTTTAATGTTTTGATTTTGTTTTCTATTTGACGTTCAATGAATATAAAGAGATTTATTGAATATTTAATTTATATTGCACACGGTGAGTGTCCAGTTGTCTTTCACAATCAATGTGCTGCTAAAACGTATTTATATCGGCTTTAGATATCAGCAACAATATTCTTTAAAAATCAGCATCAGCCTAAAAAAAACATGTTGGTCGGCCTCTATTTCAGAGTTTCAGAATCATGTTGTTGTTAGCCAATCAGAGGCGAGATGACAGAATATCAGGAAATGAGAATCTAAATCCTGCCGCCTTCTGCTCATCTCTCCTCTGGTTCACGTCTAGTTCCTGAAACAGGAGCGCCAGAGCTTTTCCCCCCACACAGATCGACTCACAAGGCATTTATTTATATTTGGTCTTTAAAGCAGGCCTTTAAATGATTTTAAAACTAAAGAAACATTGTCTTGAGCTGGGAGGGTTTGGTGTGTGTCATGCTGCGACTTTCTGTTTTGCAGGTGCGTCTGCTGGGGGTCGTGTCCAAAGGTCAGCCCACTCTGGTCGTCATGGAGCTGATGACTCATGGTGACCTGAAGAGCTACCTTCGCAGTCTGAGACCGGACTCTGAGGTTCGTTCTGGTTATCATCTAGTCAGGGTTAAATCGGTCAAAGCAAAATAAACTGAAACAAGATTGAAGGTTGTGATGTGTTCGCCAAAGGGTAGAAGCTGATTTTCCGTGTGTGGTTTGCAGAACAACCCATCCGGCTGCCCACCGCCCACTCTAAAGGACATGCTGCAGATGGCAGCAGAAATAGCTGACGGCATGGCCTACCTCAACGCCAAGAAGTTTGTTCACAGGGACCTGGCAGCCAGAAACTGCATGGTGGCTGAAGACTTCACAGTAAAAATCGGAGGTACGGCAGTCGTTTTGTGTGTTGTGTTTTTGGTTTTGAGGCAGATTTGGGTTTCAGAGTCGGTCCTGATGCATTGATCTCCTGCTGTCAGACTTTGGCATGACTCGAGACATCTACGAGACCGATTACTACCGTAAAGGAGGGAAGGGTCTGCTTCCCGTTAGGTGGATGGCTCCGGAGTCTCTGAAGGACGGAGTCTTCACGGCTCACTCAGACTGCTGGTACGCCACGCCTCAGCGACTTGCTGTGTAAGCTCTGTTATCCCGTCAGCTCACCCTGTCACCACGTTGTTGTGTGTGTGTGTGTGTGTGTAGGTCTTTTGGAGTTGTGCTGTGGGAGATCAGCACGCTAGCAGAGCAGCCTTACCAGGGTTTGTCCAACGAGCAGGTCCTGAAGTTTGTGATGGACGGAGGGTTCCTGGACCGCCCGGACAACTGCCCAGAGAGAATGTAAACACGGAATTTGTTCATTCATCCATTCTTTAATGAGGAGTCCTCGCAGTGATCTGTTTGAGTCTTTTCTCATTGTCTCGGTCTTCTGTTGCTAGGCATTGCCTAATGCAGATGTGCTGGCAGTACAACCCTAAGATGCGTCCAACATTCCTGGATATCATCGAGATGCTGCGGGACGACCTGCACCCATCCTTCCAGGAGGTCTCCTTCTTCTACAGCGAGGACAACAAAGTCCCCGAGACAGAGGACTTTGACCTGGACCTGGACAACATGGAGAGCATCCCCCTGGACCCTTCTTCTTATTCCCAAAGAGAGGAGAGCTTAGGCAGGGACAGCGGGCCATCGGTGGCCCTCAGGGGGAACTACGAGGAACACGTTCCTTACACGCACATGAACGGTGGCAAGAAAAACGGAAGAATCCTATCATTGCCCAGATCCAGCCCATCCTAACATTTCCTTATTCCTAAAAAAAGACTCGATTCACCTTTGCCCCCCTCCAGTTGAATTTTCTGTTCTTTTCACAGTTTTCTTATTCGTAGAGGAAGAAAAGACGCAGATCTCAGGACTTTTCCGTTTCTTCCTCACCGCTGTCCAAGACGGGCAAGCAAGGGATGCAAACACGTTTATAAAACTTGCTCCACGACACATCAAACTCTATGAATCTGTGGTGACACACAGCCATGTTTCCAGGACTCCTCGTGATGGAGAAAAAGTGGGGCGGCGTTTAAATAAATAACAAACTGAAAACTGTGAACACAGCAAACTTTAGCCAACCAGGACAGCTGCTCGTGCCACAAGACTTTCTCTGCATTTCCACGTTTCTGATTGTTTCTGTTCTCTCCAAACTTCCACTCAGATTGTGGCCTTTTCTACGTGGCCTGCAAAGAAAGAATCGTGTCTCTCAGCGTTCTTAAACTTGTTTCCTTTTTGTACACCTTAATCAGTGGGAGGACTTGCAAAGACTCAAAAGTAGAACATCTGATTCCTCCAATAAAGATTTTGTGTTTTTGGTTCTGCAGAATTCCAAACGGCACACAGATTAATCCGGTGTTTAGTGAATAGTTTTAATTTATTGGCTTCCCTTCCCTTCTTTTTTATTTCTCTGTCCTCATTATGTGGCTGAAGGATATTTAAACAATAATTGGACAAGAAAGAGTTCATCAGACTGACCAATAGCTGCTGCTTTCATATGGTTTAGTAGTTATAGACAAATCTAAATATATATTATATATATGGTATATAAGAAGTATGGGTGCTTCCCACCCATACTTGATTTATATACTGTATGATGTTTTTGTAAATACTGTAGTTCATATCCGTAAGGTTTTTCACCACAGCCTTTGCTAGTGTTGTTTGTTTTTAACCCCAGAAATCACACAAATCTACCGTCAGCGCTCTCTGCGCAAGTGTCAGACCTCAAGTTCCTGCTGCATCTGGAGGAGAAATCCCTCTTTTCATATCAGAGCAGTCACCATAGATGGAGGCAAAGTTCCTGCTGCAAAATCCCACCTGACTACAAATCAAAGGGTTATGAAGGGTTGTGAGCAGGGCCAGTGCACAGGTACCAGTTTGCGTTCTGACGTTGCATCCGTATGAGCGGTTTTTCAATCTGCTCATCAGAAACTCACAATCTGAGCGCACCCCCTCTCCTTCCACTATAGTCCTACATGAGATGAGTACCAAACACCTGGTATTCGAGTACTCACAAAGTTACCTGCATTCCTGGTTATGAGGCCTTTGGAGTGATCCAGATGATTTTTCTGCTGTCTTCCTCTGGTTGAATCGTGCTGGGGTTGTTTTTGTTTGCAGATAAAATCCAGTTAAGGTTACAGGTCGTGTGATTGGCTCTTTGTTTGAATCGGGGCAACTTGGGAGTGAATTGGTTTGATTTTAGATGTAAAGCTGAGACGTTGCAGCTCTGGACCACACGTCACTGCTCGGGGTTTCAGGCTGGCTCTGGTGGAAAAATGCCCATGGTTTGTGAAGGTCTGGAGACAGATACGGAAAGTTCCACGTGTATTCACAGAGGACGGGAGGGAGTTGATCCGTTTATTCTGATGTAGTTAACTCCATCAGGACGGACGTGTGCACTGCTATCTGACTCAGGTCCAACATTCCAGGATTTAGTCAAAACTCCTGCTTCCTGCTGGCAGAGACCGCCACAACATCACATCTTTATCTGAATCTTCTTGAGACCTTTCAGGATGTTCTACAAGTCAAACACATTCCCATTAGCTGCGTTCAAATCGATTCAAAAAGACAAGCTAAAAGACTCTTTTGGACTCTTTAGTTCACATTTATACAGCTGTTTGTCATAAAACACACATCTTAGTTAGCTATCCTCTTTTTTTTCCTGTTTTGGACACAAACCTGTGTGATTGCCAATCCAGCTGAACACTTCTAGAAAAGCCAAAGTGTTGGCATCCTTCTGCTAGCAGCAGACTCCAGTCAGAGAAAGCAGAGAAGCTGCCTCCATGTTTTACCAGTGCCTTTACAAACCTGCAGCCACTCCCAGGATGATTAGATTAACTGGCCTAAAACACACACACACACACACACACACACGCACGCACGCACACACACACACACACACACACACACACACACACAGAAACGGGCCTCAGTGTGCACTTTTGTTTTTATTTGTTGTTACATCACGGGAGAGGTATGGCTTTCAGATAGTTGCAGAAATAATTTTTTCGTTCCATCTTGCTGGGCTCAAGTGCTCACATCCATCCGATGGCTTAGCGGCGGTTGTGATCAGAGTTGGTGTGATTTACATTTCAGCAAATATTAAATTTTACAAAACTCTTTTGTGCTTAAATTACGTATCATAGATTGGAGAATGAAAAACAAACACACTAATGCTAAATACAAACGTTTCTTTTTAAAAAACGCCAATCTTTTCTATATTTTCTCATTAGTTCTCCATATAATCTGGTTTTTAGTATTTAAAAACATGTATCCCCCCCCCCCCCATCCCATCCCATATCCATGAACCACCAGGATATTTATTGTTTTACTGCGATTATGGTGATTGTGTTTAAACAGATGAGTTTTATCGTCCAGGTGTAGTAATCAGAGGTGAGCAGCAGGGAGCGCTTATTTATTAGTTAGTTGGTAATTGTCTTGGTTTTTGTGTGTGGCCAGAGTCTACCTCAGTTCCTGTGGAGGAATCAGCCTAAAGAGCCCCAGTCATCCACGCTGTCCCACATATCACATTCTCCTCACCTGCTCCTCTCTGTGGTGGTAAAATCCTCTCCTGCCTCCTTTTGTCACATGGAAGTTCTAAAATAACTTCCGTACTTTTTTGGAATTCACTTCAAGACCCGTCTCATGTGAAACGTCTTGATTTTGTCACTTGTCTCCATGCCTCTCGCAGCACTTTTTCAACACGCACCATAAGAGAACTGATTCATGAATAGTTCTGCTTCCTTCTGGCACCAGAAGAAGCCGAGTCAACAGTAGCGTACCTGTGATGGTCTTTATGCAGCCAAAGTTATCGGTGTTCAGTCGTGGACCTTTTCTAAGTCTGTACCACATCTCCTCTAGATGTTCCCTGTTTCATGATCGTGTTGCGTATTGTTTGTTTTTCTACTGTGAATATCAAATGATGATCATTTATTCTCTGTCAATGCCATGGATTGGGCCTGTTGTGACTGATCAGGACACAGATGTGCAGGCTTTCAAAGAGGAGGAGCCTGCGAAGGAGGAAATCTGGCTGGGACAATCCTATGTGCCATAAGAACTTATTATCTGACATCAGATCTAGATTGTAACTATTCGTCTCAGGGAGGCGGCCTGATGCTTTGTGTTTTAGAGGAGGAAGAAGAGGATCTACCTGCTTTTTATCCACTCTGACTGAAATGCAACCTTTCACCTAAATAGCCCCCCACCCACCCACCCCCGTTTTTTTTAAAGATAATCAGGAATCCTCTTCTTGCTCAGATGTGATGTGGTTCTGACTGCCCTCTAGTGACCGTATGGGAGTGTTGCAGGTCAGGGCAAAACGACCTCTCCCCCTTACACCTGACCCCACATAGTGCCTTGTTAAGACTAAATGTCGCATCTGATCCCTCCCATCCGGTCCTAACTATTCCAGCCCCCCACCGGCACATCTCCACCTATCACAAGAAGATTTTTCCACCTCCAAACATGAAATAAACACTTGTTTTTTTATGCATTCTGTTTTTTAAAGCTGTAAGTGCAGAGATAATACTGTAATTTGGGATTATATGACTGATGAATTTTACAAGAGAAAAAAAAAAGAGAAACTGTTGAACTTCTGTCTACTCTGCTGATCTCTGGCTTGCTTTGTGCATGGAAAAACGTGTCCGTTTGAGCATTAGATGATCACTGATCTGTTTTTTTTTCCTCAGCAAAACCCCAAAGCACATGCAAAAAAAAAGAAAAAGAAAAACATCCCTCATGATTAGAAGCAAGTGATTACAATTTGTATTTTTTATGCATTGATATGTTGCATAATTTAAAAATGAATGCAATGATTAATAAGCTCCTAAAACTTGTAAATAGCAGCAGATCTTGACCCTGGGAAATAAAAAAACCGCACATGGTTTTAGGGATTTTTTGTCGATCAGCATGCTAACCCAGAGCAGGATGTGAACAAAGCATTCTATGTATTATTGCTTTATCTTAAAGAGAAAAGTATTAATTTTAGAGATGTTGATTTCTATTTTTTTAGCTTAAATAGGGAGGACAAATGCGATGGTTTTGTTCTGACTGTAAAGTTTTACTACTCTTGTACATTATGAATTTGTCATTGTTATCAATGTGTATATATGTTCCCTAAATTTAAGGATATTGATTTTTTTCCCTTAAAAAAAAAAGAAACACAAATAACACCACACCGAAAAGACAGCCTGTCGATGTGTTTGACAGGAGCTCAACGCCACTCCAGTCTGAGAGCTATGTCGTAACCAGACACACATGTGGCCTCGACCCTGCTTTTTAACCCAAGCGTGTTCTCTGAATGTCGGCCCTCCGAGGGCCACGCGTTCCAGCCACCTCCGGTCCAGGCAGCACGGCGGTGACCACCAGGCCTTCTTTAACGTCACAGATGTGAACTGTTTCTAACAGGCCATGAGGCTTCTTAATGTTCTTTCTCTGCCACTTAATCGGGTGGAAAAACTGGAAGAGACCACCACACTTCTTTCTAAAGAAGAAGGAACACTGAGTGATGAAAAAATACCAGAATAAGCTAAAAGGAACAAACAGTGCAATATTCAGATGCAAGTTTAAATCTCAAATTTGACAAAATTAACATATTACTTCAGAAAAAATGTGTTGCCCCCTTATTTCTGACCATTTCCAGACTTTAAGGGAGTTCAAAGAGTTAAAAATCAGCTTAATTGAACCAACTCTTCTTTTCAGGCTTGTGGGACAAAGGGTGTCTCACTATGGAGCTGTTAGTTGGTGTTTCTTCTCTGATCTGATGATGCGACATAGCTGGTTTTGATCCTGAATGTTTTTTTTTTACTACACACTCTGTGAGCGGTCTCTTCCAGTTTTATCACCAACCTCTCAAATCAGCAGAGTCTGATTGCTGCTGCTCCTCCTCTTTGTCCTCAAGTCTCTCGATGACTGGTTCCCAGAGTTGTGTGCGTGTGTGTGTGTGTGTGTGTGTGTGTGTGTGTGTGTGGTCTCTCAGCTGATACCTCTACAGTAATTTTTTTTGTTGCAGATGTGTTAATTTTGGGGTAATACTGTTGTAAACATGATTGGTGTGTGTGCATTCAGCAGGTGTGTATATGTGTGTGTGTATATCTGTACAGTCCGAACTCATGGAAATGGCTTTATCCCTCACACTGGATCCAAATGTGCCATTATCTTTATAAACACAGAAATCAACACAATGATTTTACTCACACACAGAATTCAATGCAGACTTTACAGGATCAGAAATGTGCCATGACTAAAATAACGCTTGATGATTTATTTTTTCTATGTTTTCAAAGGAGAATAAGAATCTTGCTGTGTGTAAATTATTCAACAATTAACTGTTTATATTAAAATTATGAATAAAATTAATGGAGAATATGTCTTTTTGTACTTTCTTACTGCAAGTTTTTTCTTCTTTTGTGTGCCTTTTTTAAAAATTCCATGTTTTTGTACTTCCAGGTGAATAAAATAACATTTATTTAGTCATGTTAAAGTTACGTGACAGAGTGTTGGCCTGTACGTACAGCTTACAGCGCTGTCTCTATATTCTCATCATCACAGAGATCACTTCTTAGAATTTGCCCCAAATAATTTACTTTTCTCATCACATACTTGAATGGAAAGTTTGGTCAAAAGTTCAATACAATTGTTTGCCACTATTTAACATCTTAAAATAATTCATCTTGAAGTTAAAAGTTTTTTCCTCCTAAATGGAAAAGCATCCATTCTTTTCAGAGTCATAGATAATCAGCTACAGGTTCAGGTCTTTTCTCTAAACAGTAAATCCTTTTCAGCTGGATTGGAGCCTCTTATTTCTCAGCTGACACGAGACACGAGTCAGGATCCACCTCCAACAGGTCCTCACTTCACTAGAGACATGAAACCGGGAGATGATGATAAATGACCTGCACTTGTATAGCACCTTTCTGAGTCAGAGGACTCCAAAGGGCTTTACGCTACAGCAGAGCTATTCAATTACAGGCCTTGAGGGCCGGTATCCAGCACAGTTTGGTTTAAATCCTGCTTCAACACACCTGATTTCAATTTGCAAGTGATTAACAGGCGTCTGTGGAGCCTGATGAGCTGCTGCACAGGTGATTCAACCACTAAATCTAGTGTGCTGGAGCAGAGAAACCAGTAAAACATGCTGGATTAAGGCCCAGAACTGATCTCACCCTATCTCTAATGGGCCATTCCCATCTGTACCGGGTCGGCCCGGGCCAGGTAGCCCCAGTCGGCCCTAGCCTGGCCCAGTTGATTCCACACATCCTCACCTTAAGCCCATGTGGGCTGATTCTACCCACCAATCAGAGGCTTGCTCTAATGGAAGGTGTGCATTTGCTGTCAGCAGTGGGTGTGTTGGCCCTGGTCGGCCTGAAGCAGACCCCCTCGAGAAGAGGGCTGAGAATGAGCCTTGGTTGGCCCGGAAAAATACCAGGCCACCCAGATATGTAAACAACCTACTCTACCCGGCCCGGGCCGACCCGGTACAGATGGGAATGGCCCATTTGGGAGAGCCTAGCCACTCTTTGGAGAAAACTAATTTCGGCTGCTTGTATCCGCGATCTCATTCTTTCTGTCACTACCCAAAGCTCGTGACCACAGGTGAGGGTAGGAACGTAGATCGACCGGTAAATCAAGAGCTTCACCTTCTGACTCAGCTCTCTCTTTACCACGACATGGAAAATGGTAAATGGCCTGTATTTGATATAGCGCCTTCTAGAGTCCTGGAACCCCCCAAGGTGCTTTACAACACAATCAGTCATTCACCCATTCACACACACATTCATACACTGGTGGGGATGAACTACAATGTAGCCACAGCTGCCCTGGGGCGCACTGACAGAGGCGAGGCTGCCGAGCACTGGCGCCACTGATCCCTCCGACCACCACCAGCAGAGTCTTGCCCACATGGCACAATAAGTATTTTTATTTATTGTTTGAATGCTGTTCAAACTATTGTTTTCCTGTTTATCCTTCTTATTCTGCTTCTGTACACTTTTTGAACCTTTTCAACTCCTTCAAATTTTTAACTATTTCAACAATTTTATATCAAAACATTCAGCTCGTTAAGCTCTTTCCGGCTTGCTGTCCAGATTTTTTAATAATGTTCAGATTTCAGTTTTCTGCTGTTTAGGATTGTTTTCTCCGTTCTTCACTTTTTGTGCTTTATTTACATTTTGGTGCTTTTTGCTTCTAAATCTTTCAAAACATTCAGCTCATTTTAACAGTTTTGCTTAGTTTCAGCTTCACTTGAGCTATTCAGCAGCTTCAGCAATTAGTTTCTAAATTCAACATAGGATGCTAATTTCACAGTTCAACTAAATATAAAAATTAAACTGTTAAACTAGTCCTACTCAACTAGCAAGTGTTTAGACATTTTAGCTGTCCAGATTTTTAAACAATGTTCACAGATTTCAGTTTTCTTCAGGATTAGCTTTCTTGATTCTTCACTTACTTTTTGTGCTTTATTTGCTTGTTGGTGCTTTTTGCTTTCACGTATTTCACTACATTCAGCTCATTTGACAGTTTAGCTTAGTTTCAGCTTACTTCAGCTATTCAACAACTTCAGCAATCAGTTACCAAATTTAGCATAAACTGCTAATTTCACAGTTCAGCTAAATGTAAAGTTTAAACTGTTAAACTTGTCCAACAGAAATAACAGGTGTTTAGACATTTTAGCTGTCCAGATTTTTATACAATGTTCACAGATTTCAGTTTTTTTTCTTTTATTTTTTGCTATTTAGCATTATTTTTCTCTATTCTTCACTTACTTTTTGTGCTTTATTTGCTTGTTGGTGCTTTTGCTTCTACATCTTTCAAGACATTCAGCTCATTTTGACAGTTTTGCTTAGTTTCAGCTTCAGTTCAGCTGTTCAGCAGCTTCAGCTTACAGTTTCAGCTATCCAGCATTCAAACAGCATTTGTGCAAGAAATTCATATTTTTCTAGTTTTATTAGTTTATCCTGTTTTCTTTATTTTTCCTCTCCACCCCCTCAGACCTTTGTCAGCACAAATCCACATTTTCCTGCACAACAATGCAGCTGCATGAGAAGGACATGAGCAGATGCATTATTTATGTCATTGTGCAAAAGCATTATGTGTAAATATTTAATTCTAAGAGGATGCATGATAAGTGCCACTTTCAGATCAGTATTCATCAGGTTGAAATCACATTCTGGTGGTAACCAGCTTCACCTGATTCTGTTGCTCAGGATTCTGCAGACAAAAATAAATAAAAACGGTTAAAACAAGAAGAAGCATTGAATACTTTTGTTGGTTGTTTGCACAACTTGGTGCTATAAACACAAAGATTTACAGGCAATGCATCATTCATGTCATGCTCAGGACTTTGCCTCACACTCGTGCTTTCATAAAGTGTGTCAGCTGCCACAGCGCATTTCACAGCAGCACTGGTGTGTGTGTGTGTGTGTGTGTGTGTGTGTGTGTGTGTGTGTGTGTGTGTGTATGTGTGTGTATGTGTGTGTGTGTGTGTGTGTGTGTGTGTATGGGAGCCACTCAGCTGCACAGAATGAGAAAAAGAGGAAGCAGCTGGTTGGCTGTTTGCACTCAGCAAAGACAGTTGTCTCAGTGAAACCTGAAGGAGTTCAGACATCTTTTCTTCATCACTTTGGGGAGTTAAAGAAAAAGGATCCACATGCAGACTCCTGTTACCCATAGAAATATCTAATGTAAGTATATTTTTGTTCATTTTTAATTTTAATTGTTGTCTGTGCAATTAGTGAAAATCAGTTCTAACCCTTTAAAGTGTCTTCCACCTGCCAGCTCTGGGGGTTTGTTTTGCTTTCCTGTCTGGGGGAAAGCAGGAAGTTCTCCACTAGATGGGCATTGAACTCCACTTGAAAGCGTTTGCTGATGAAACTTCATAATGGTTGCTCAAACAGCCACAATGCTGAAAATATTCTCTCCTGCAGCAACTTCTCTTCTGATCAGTTCATCCAGATGTGTTATTTTTATTTGATCAGTTAAGGAATGTTGCTTTGGGCCTCTTTGACTCAGGTTAGGGTAAAAATAAACAGGTATGTTTCTTAGCTTTATGTTTTCATTACACACACTTCTTTGGCTTTTTATCATTTCTTCTCTCATTTGCTGAAACATTCACATTTGAACAATCTAAAGGTTGTTTAGTTGTTAAAGTTTATTATTTTAAGCTGAATTTATTACAAAACATTTGCACATTTTTCCTAAAATAGTCCCCCGTGGTTATTTTTGCTTCAGAGACTTTTGCTTACTTTTCTGCTGGGGGTAATCCCAAACCAGCATCTCCCTGACTCCCCCCTTCTCCCACTCCTCTCACCTCCCTCCCCCTCTTGCCGCTGGGTGCCACAGCTCTATAGTGTGAGCAAGCTCCCAGTTCATGCTGGCCTCCCTGCTGAGCTGCTCCCATGGCTGACTCACCTCTTAACCACTCCTGGCCATCCTTTTCCAAACTCTGGATGAAGAGATGGTCCTTCAAGAGAGGTAATCTGTTTTCTTGTTTGGATTCAGTGTCAGAGTTTCTGAGTGTGTTTGGATCCATCAGAAGCTGCAGGCAGGATGCGACCCCAGAGAGCCTTTTAAATAGGACTCTGCTTCTCGCTCAAACCCCATTCACTTCTTTTTCACCAAGAGGTTATTTACTGTTTTGACCTAATTGTGGCCAGAGGTGAGTGAAGGTTGCAGTATGCCAGCTTGTCTCTAACTAAAATGAGTCACATGGGGGAAATGTGAGTGCAGAAATGTGGTGAAACATTTCAAAAGAGGAACCTGTGATGATTTATCTGAAAAGTGACTTGCAGCGCTGCCACTTATGCATGCATGCATGCATGCATGTTGTCCTCCCATGCGTGACACACAGAACGCTGTGTTTGTGCAGCATCTGCGCAGACCGGTGGTCTGAGACGGTAGAGAAGTGAATTCTCCGATCAAAGTGCTTTTGATGTTTGCCTCCAGCTCAGATCTCACAGCCTCTGTGATCTAACTCTGTCTGCAAGAATCCCTCAATGGGGATGCTTTTCACTGGCAACCTAAAGCCTGTAGTATCAGAAATAATCAATAATATATTTATTATAAATATTTATTATCTTATCTTGACTTTTTGCGGTTTCTGTGGAATTTGATCGAGCCTGTTTCTGTCAAACCAAAAAAAAAAAAAGAAAAAAAAAGAACAATACATGATGGAACAAACGCCGTTTGTGTGGAGGAACTTCTCATGATTCGGACTGACCGAACCCACCTTATCATATGAAGTTCCCTCTTGTGATCGACATAAAGCTTTGTGAACATGCAACCTCATTTCCTTCTCTGTCACACCTGGTCAGCATCCTCTTTTCATCCTAAAAACCCAACAAAACATGAAGTACAGACAGAACGCACGTAAAACAAACCTTTGTAGGTGAAGTGTTAAATGTTAATCTTAAGAAAGCATATTGAATTGCCTCTGTGTATGAATAAAGCTCATTCTTCTAACAGGTTTATTGTAAAAATTGCACTAAAATAGATGCTTTTGTTGGAAGTTGCTTGTGAAATTAGAGAGCATTCATTGTCTATTGTTTGCAGCTTCTTAGGAAAAGTGGTTTATAGCTGAATTGTGATGTTACTAATAGTTTAGGTTGGATTTAGTTCATTTTTTTGTGATATTTAAAGGATTCAGGACTTTCACTCTAAAGTGGAAAGGAAATGAAACACGCTTACGAAAACAACAACAGATTAATAAAACTAACATAGCGGATGTAAAGCACGATAAAGTTTAAGTGTAATAAATCAAAGACTTTTCAGTCCTTAAATCCTGTATTAATTGTTAATGGTGCCTAGTTTTAGTAGCAGAGTGAGACCACCTTTTATTGTTGAGTCAAACTGTAAAAATGAAAAACTTCCCAATATAAGCTGGATGGTGGCAACACACACACACACACACACACACACACACACACACACACACACACACACACACACACACACACACTCAGTGATGTGTCATCCTCCCCTCAGAAGAAATGAAAGGCCGACCATAAAAGGCCACAGCTACTCCACTGGACTGCATCAAGCAGCGGCTGCAGAGTCAAAAGTTTACTCTCGACACAAGTGGGATTTGGACGCAAACAGATTCTCCCTCCAGCGAGGAAGCTGCCACCCCAGCAGCCTCACCTGGTGATTTAGTAAAATAGAAAACTGGATCTAAAGCTGGGTGTTTATGTTTGAGCATCTCTGGCTGCTGGGGAGAAGACGGCAACGGTTTCTGCAGGTTTATGTCACGACTCAGTTCAGACTGCATTTCATCTGAAATGACCTCATGTCTCAAATGAGATCATCTGTCAGAGATATGCAAAAGTTTCTGTTTTGTCCTGGTCCCCACGTGCTATGAAGATGTTTATTTATCTTTTGAAGGTCGTATCTTATTCCGAGATCCTTTTGCTTGTTAAAGTCTCATTAAGATCGAGACCTCTCAGACTTCAGGATAAGTTTATTAAACAAGCCAAAGAGAGAAAATCAGAAAACACATGAACAACCATGACATGTCCAAAATAATATTTTTTCCTAAATCTAACAGTTTATTTATAAGAATCGAATAAAAAAAATGTGTATAAAGCATCAACATACATTTAAAGATCCATGATTAAAATTAGAGGTGTGGTTTGGACTGTGTCCGGCTCTGCTGTGTGGAATTAATTTTGTGACAGTTTCCTCCTGCCATAACCTTTGTAGCGTAGACAATCTACATACTAGGATTTAATGCTGTTTGCTATCAGCTTTGTTAGATCCTGAGAAAAGATCAGACACATTAGCATATGAACTTATATCATGCATAAATATCTAGGATATTTATGCAATCGATAGAAGTTCATACACCAATGGGCTTGGTCTATATTTAATCCAAAGATTAATTTTTAATTTAAGATAATTAAATTAATAGCAAAAGTTTATTTATTAAACAGAAGACTTAATGGATTATTTGCTTATTCAGTAACCAAATATACACCATTCTGTTTCATTTCAAAGAAGAGTCAGGTTAAAACAGTTAAGAATTTATTAATGACAATTTAAAAATTACACTTTGTAACAGCTTCGATATTAAAACTTGATATTAAAAGCAAACCTGTGTCTGAATGGAAACTAAAATGAAATGCGTATGCTGGATGCGTGGATGGATCTCAGAAGATTTCTTTCAGAGAGAGAAACGCGTTCTGGGTGGAAGAAGTTGTTTTGCAGCTAACTGAATTGTTTCTTGGAGAGAACACCATCGGGCGCAATCTGTGTGCTACCTCACCCATCAGATGATTTTCTGTGTAGGTCCGGAGGATGTTGTCAGCCTCTGGGTACTCGGTCAGGTAGAGAAGACCCGAGTGAAACCGACTCTCTGGTCCAAGAGTTGCCGCAGGGTACACAGTGTTGAGCTTGCGTCTTAACTTAACTCTGAAGGAGTTTTGCATCAGCTGGTTACAAGTGGCGTTTATTCGGAGCGATTCTATCTGCTTGACAGAACAGCTTTGTGAGGCTTCGGGCGGCCGACCCTCGTCCTCTGGTACTCTCGTCACCACGGAGAGTATCTGCTTGGTTCAAGAACTGAAGTTGAACTGAGGAGTTTTTGGTTTTAACAAAACCTCAGAACACGCCCTCTCAGCATCAGAAAGCTTGTTGTTATGGAGCTAAGACATGTGAGGTGGTTACCTTTACTCTGGATTCAGTTCTGCATGATGTGTACACGTGCAAATGACCTTCTGGTTACTGATTATCATAAACAATAATTGTTATTAACCACAGAATAATAAGTAATTTCAGTAATTAAATACATTTATAATGAACCATGATGATTATTTATGATGATTATAATAAACCTTGTAATAAACAGTAAAATGAGTTTATTAAAAATGATTATTTTAAATCTTGAAGTGTCCTTCATCTTGCGGAGGAACAGCAGACAGATAAAAGATGGTTTTAGCAGACTGCACGGCTCCTGTGATGGATCATCTGTGGGACAGAAGTTCAGCTCGACCCAGCTCGACCTAGCCGGGGAAGTGTGACCTTTGGGACACAAAATGAGGCCATTCGTGTTGCTACACCTTAAATTATTGAATTAATTAAAGATTATGAATTAACTTCAGCAACTCCAGCTGCTGTTTAGCCACATTATTGTCAAGCGGACACAAACTATATTCACTCAGCATATTCTCTTCCTTGTCAGCAAATGTATGAATAAATGGTCTGTATCTGATATCGCGCCTTCTAGGGTTCTACATCCCCCCAAGGTGCTTTATAACACAACCCATGCACACACTTATCCACAGGTGGTGAGCTACATCGTAGCCACAGCTGCCCTGAGGTGCGCTGACAGAAGTGAGACTTCCGTACACTGGCGCCACCGGTCCCTCCGACCACCACCAGTAGGCAAGGCTGTTTAAGTGTCTTGCCCAAGGACACAACAACTGCAATAGACTGGGCTTGAACCTGCAACCCTTAAGTTAAGGGACAGGCACTTAACTCCTCTGCCACCATCATAGAAACATCACAACCTATTTTTATTTATGAAGGATTGTTGGATTCTGTTGGATTAAACTCATTTAAATAGTTTGATGGTTATGTCAGACCAGAGCAAAGACAGACAGTTGGCAGACACGCTGGGTAGCACAAGGTCATTACACTCGAAACTAAAACCTTTTGTCGAACAGCCTTTCTCAGAAAGAAGGTGACTTTTGTGACTCAGCGCTTTTTTTGGCACACCAGCAGACCACAAAGGAAGTTGACCTGAATCTTACGCTAGCCTTTGAAGAAATACTGTTATAAAGGGACATTACAATAAAAATATATTACATAAAAATACGGTAATAGTGCCTGAAATATTCTTAACTCTGATTGTAATTTAGAAAAATTGAAATTGTATTGGCCCCTAAAATACCTTAAGGGGACTGGTCGATTCCTGGTCACTTTGAGCTCAGACAGATAGCTGGCATGCCTCCAAAACTACAAATTGGTCATTGTTCACAAAAATGGAATATCGTCAATCGCTTTATTCTGGAACCTTGACACAATGGAAGCTGAAACTAATATTGCATCATGCAAAAGCATATATGATTTGGCATAAAATAATCTTGGTCCCAACATCAAGCTAACCCGTAAGTCGCAAGAAAACTGGTGCAAAATTCAGCAGAATTTCTCCTTGTTTCTGATCACATTTTACCACCATGTACCTCTTGCTGCACGCTACAGTAGAAGCACAAGCTGAAAGTATTCATCTGGTTTCACTCTGCAGTTTGTGTCACTACACATCACTACAACCTACACGCCAGACTGTCAGTATTTACGTTTCCAGGACATATTACGCCCCTTTTTAGAAAGTCTTTGACACACGTTAACAACAGCAGTTTGAAACCTTTATGACTTGTTCAGAGCAGCTGACACATTTCTGTCCGCATCATATAAACTTTGCGTTTTTAGGAATTAGGTTGTCGTTTAGGTCACTTTTGCCTTTCAGTCCTACTTTGAGTTTTGTTGCTGATCTGTGGGGTGAGTGAAACTCAGAGGAGCGTGTAGAGACTAAATTTAATTAATGTTTAATAAAAAATAATTCAAATAAGTATTGTAATGACATGATTTTGCTTTTGAAGTGTAAAAAAGGATCCACGTGCTGCAGCGTTACACACTTAAGATAAATCAGAGAAATTAAACTCTTATGTTAAACGGACTGAAGCTGTTTTCATCAGATCTTTAGAGCAAGGCTGGCTTAGGCTAAATCCTGGATTTACTGGAGGTGTCCCCTTACAAATGGAGGATTTTGTAACCTGTATGAGATATGGATCTGCCCTCTTCAGATGGACTCAACCATCTGACAGCACAAGACTGATATCTTTGTTTTGGATCAGTTCAGTAGCGTTAAAGTAATCATTTTAATCACATTACCCTTGGCTGTGTACGGTTCCCTCTCACAGTGTGAGTTTCCCATGTTTGACGTGACTGACCACCTCTCAGGCTGCTAAACAATCCCGCTCTCCACCACTTGCATGGAAACTAATGCTGGCCTACAGATGGGTTGCTAGCAGCGACAGTGGTTTGTGGCATTATTGAATAAAGGAATCTGTTTATGTAATGAAAATGTAAAGGAGCTTTCAGCAAGAGGCTGGAGCAGGGTGTACATCTGAATGATTGCACAGGTGCTGTACGGCTGATACCATCAGCAAACTCTTTCTGTTGCTGCTCTGGATGAATTTTAAAGAGATGACATCGATAAACTCTAATCAAATCCCTTGTTTTTTAGCATCCGAGTGTAAGCCATGTAGTCAGTCCTGCGGGAATCCCGGCAACCAACTGAGCCTCCATCCTCATCCTTCCAATAGGAAAGGACTGTTCTCGTCACCAACCCCAGCCTCCATCACAGAGGATGTGTTCTTTGGTAGCAGCAGTGATGACCAGGTAAATACTAAATACAATCTCTTCCAGCTTCCCACCAAATTTGGCTGAACCTAATAAAATACCCTTTCTTATTGAACCCAGAAGTGACACGACCTTCTATAAGCTGCAGTTGAAACTGAGTTCCTGTTTATTTAAACAACCAGGCAGTTGGAGTTGCATGCAATTACTGTCGTAAAAGAGAAAGGGGTAATTATATCTGAAGCAACAACGTCGGAATAAAACTCAGATTCTCTCTTGTGCAGATCTCAAAAGTAAAAACATTGAGGGTTTTCTATTTTGCAGCTTCATCAAAGTATCATAAATGTGAAGATTCAAACATCTGCAGAGGAAATTCTCACATTTTTCTCACACCCAGTGGTGTCTCTGGTATGATGCGTTAAATGGGGCACAACAACTCAACGGATGCTGATTCTTCTGTGATGCAAACAACCTGACTTTGATCAGCATTAAATGAAACAAAACAGCACACTATAAATATGTAAATATTCAAAAATACAACATTTTTATATATGAAACTACAAATAAAGGGTCATTCATCTGTGCTTGACAGAAAAAATGCATGTTTCATCTGGGCAAACTTTTCAATTACTCTTCTGTCTGTGAATGAACTCGTTTTCAGTGTTCAGCATGGCCACTGCATTAACCTTGGCTGCCCCATTGTGTGACATCCGCGTAGATGTCTTGATCGTTGTCAGTGTTGAAAACTCAGCAGGGGTCACTGGTGGCGTGATAATTTTGAGCTGTGAAACAATCACAGATAAGGCATCCTGTAGGTAGTTGTCACAGATCAACTGCAGCAGAAACATGCATGCAACCGTTTGTGAGGTGACTTCATTTTAGTTTTGAGCTTAGAATTTATGTCCAGTGGCCATAGTTGGTTGCATGTTCAAATGTAGCACTTAGAAAGGATTTTAAGTGAGCATAAAGCCCCACAGCAACGTCTGGTGGGGCCCGGCCCCACTGGCCCTAGATGCAGAAATACCACAGCTCACACCCAACAGTAAATTAGCTGGATTCAAATTTAGATGCAGAAGTGAAACCTGACTGGTGCTCTCAGACTGCAGCTGACATCCACCCTCAATTAAGTCATGTTAGTGTCTTTAGATAGATTCACTTGTAGCATGTGGTCTAACAACATTTATTTTAGTTTTATTATAAATAGATATTGGGTCTCAGATGTGATTTGACATATTTTTAAAGTCTATTTAAAGGTGTGGTTCACTGAAAACTAATCATTTTTAATTATTTCTTATTATAATTGGTTACAATGAGTTTTTCATGCAGGCTGAACATGAAAATAGTCTCCTACACCTGTCTCCTGCATTAGCTTCTGATAGAAAATAGACTGTGAAAGTCTAGGATTTGAAAATCCTGACACCTAACGTTCATGGACTCACCCATCTTGACTCACGATGGGGAAGAAGTTGTTGGTTTAACATCCAGGAAACAGCAGAGAACGTCTCGGCTACTTGCTAACTGTTGGCATTAGCAACTTTACATCATAGCAGAACTCCTCCAGACTTGTGTTATTCATGGAGACGAGACATCGACGTTGCAAAGTAAATGTAGTCGGTGATAACATTGTTCCAATCCGAGATGTCCAGATATCAGGAAATAAGACTCCAAATCCTGCTGTGTTCAGCTTATCTCCGATGTGGCTCACTTCTAGTTCCTGAAACATGCACACCAATGCCTCCCCGAGTCTGACTTACAAGGTGATCCTTCCTACTAGAGACCACTGAAAATGTCTGGATTAAATGAGTGAACCACACCTTTAACTCCTACCCAGGGGTCTCATTTATCAAACATTGCGTAGAATCCTTACTAAAACCGTACTTAAGCTCAGCAACAAAAAAAAAAAGTACTTTCGCCATGTAGGTTTGTGATCTATCAAACATGGAGTACCCACAGCTGCTCACAATCTCCGCTTCATAAATCGGAGACTATCTAGAAAGGTTCTCAGCTACATTTTAGTCACATCCCGCCCTCACCACGCCCACTTACTACCATAAATAGTCAATGCAAAGTGCCTTGTGGATCTCATGTATATACATAAGCCAGCTGTTGCAACGCCCCGCCAATGACATGGCGACCGTAGAACAGGGCAGATCAAGGAAGCGCAATTTCACAGAAGCAGAAGTTAAGGTACCTGTGGGTGAGGTGGAGAAATGAAGGGAAGTGCTTTTGCAAAACAAATAAGAGAAAATCCACGGAGTGGTACAGCGTTGCTGAAGCCGTCAATGTTGTGAAGTCTTCAGAGAGATCTGTGGCGGATATGAAAAATGGTCCAATCAGGATTCAATCCCCAGACTCCCGGGTGAAAGTCACGCGCGCTAACCAGTCAGCCAAATGGAGATCCCCCGTACAACTAGCCAGGGTGCATGATCAATTGGGTCACAGTGACAGGACACACACTGTCACAGACGCATGACATTCTGTCTCAATCTGTCCCCCTGCTGATAATCTGCATTCCGTATTCTGCACTTCAGGCTGTGTGTGTGTGTGTGTGTGTGTGTGTGTGTGTGTGTGTGTGTGTGTGTGTGTGTGTGTGTGTGTGTGTGTGTGTGTGTGTGTGTGTGTGTGTGTGTGTGTGTGTGTGTGTGTGTGTGTGTGTGTGTGTGTGTGTGTGTGTGTGTGTGTGTGTGTGTGTGTGTGTGTGTACACGTGCGCTTGTGTGTGCATGTGGGGGGTCTTGTTCTGTGTGAAAACGAAGCGATACTGCTGCAGGATTTCATAATTTTATCCTTCTCAGCAGCAGCGCTACAGTTGCTCTCCATGTCCAAAATGTGCGTAAGCAAGGTCCTTAGTCAACTTAACCCTTTGATGCATGAATTATGAAATCTTCAACCATGATTTTTTAAACATTTTTTTCATTCATCTTTAGGTGTGAATGAAACAAATTTCCTATTTACATATTTTTTGTAACATTTAATTTACTCATAATTTATTACACGTCCACCTCAGTGGACAGCGTGCATTCTGAACATGAAATATGGTGGCTTGACTTACTGAAGTACAAATGGAGGGGCTCAAATGCAATAAAGTCTTCAACAGCTGTGCTTAATAGCAAAAATAAATAAATAACAATTTTGAGTACCTGTCCACTGTAGTGACCATTATGCATCAAAGGGTTAAAGTTGCGCACATTTTTCCACTAAGTTTTCTTTCATAAATTCCAAACTTTGCGTGGAAATTTGCTTACGTAGTTTTCCGACCCCGTTTTGTGCGTGATTAAGCTTGATAAATGAGGCCCCTGGTCACTTCTGCTTTCACTTAACCCACAGATTACAACAGCCAACGCCTCGAATCAAAAACTACAATGTGGTGGTTTGACAGTAGTTTTCTCAAACTCGATCAATAAGCTAATAAATGATTTGTGTAGAACTTTGACTTCTTGCATTCATTCTTTGCATAGGAAAAACGCTGTTTTAGCACCATCACAGCTGATCCTAACTGATTTCAGTGAAAGCATCCCTGAATATCGAAAACTCCACACCAGTGTAATCCCGCTTCAGTCCTCCTATCTTTTATCTCTTATCTTCTACACTTCTTTAACAATTTTTTGGGTGTGACTTCTTCCTCAGGATGCCTGTTCAGTAGTCAGTGACTACGACTGTCCCTTTGTGGAGGAGAACAGCAGCGTGGAGGACCTTCAGGGCCTCTGCTCCTCTTTCCGAGACTCCGAGTTCTTCAAAGACCTGGAGGGAGCAGCACTGATCCCTCAGACTCCTGCATCAACAAAAATCCTTGAGTGCAAAACGCCACAAAGCGCTGCTTCACAGCTGCCTCTAAACGTACACGGTCCAACCAGTAACCAGCACTCACACACACCTCACACGATACACTTGCCACAGGCCAATGCCCCGTCATTTCCTTCCTACGGACAACCTCCAGAGGAACTTCCTCATGAGTTTGTTGGAGCTCAGCTGCTCTCTGAATGTGTTATTGACAGCAGTGACTCCACTGGCCTTACGGGAGATCTAAGGTCCACAATTACTTTAAATGGCCTACTGGGATCAATGGAAACAGTAAAACCAAAAACAGGACTAGAAGGAGTAAAAGATCAAGCGATGATGGATTTTGATGGCAAGCCAGACCTGGACAGCTTTCCCATTCTGGTCCGATCCATGTCAACGTCCAGGAGGCACAGCTGGGGAGTCCCTCTGTCCCCGCTGAACTCTGGCAGGAGGTAAGATGAAAAATAGACAGTAGTAAGAAGACTGATGGGTGCTATTCTGTGAAGTCACCTAAATCTGATCAATCATATTGAGGTTTTAAAGTTTCGAAGTGAGAATGTTTTTGTTCTAGTCACTCATTGTTTTCTTCCTGGTTTTGTTACTTCTCTTATTTAAGCCATTTTAATCAAGTGCCTCGATTGGATGTTTTGTTTGAGTGACAGCTTCTTTTCAATGTCCCTCTGCTTTGTGCGTGTGCCGCTACGTTACGCTGTCAGGCTGAGTCTGGACACCGCGGCCATAGACAACAATGGAGAGAGGGACAATGATGAGGAGCAACTGAACAGTCTCTTCCAGTCCACCCAGTGTCCTGGAGATGAGCCGGACGCTTCCAGCTCTAAGGTAATTTGTCTGAAAACGTGTTAACACAAAACTATAATAAATCTCTAAAAAAACTGAACTAATATGTACATGTTTTCCAAATTTAAAGTGGTTATTTTCGAAAACTCCAGCACAGTGTCAAATTTAATCAACATTACTGGAACAGGAGTAAAAGAAGAGCTTCTGTTGCCCTCTTGTTGTGAGTTTGACAATCAACTGTAGTTAGTAGGAGCCGATCATGAAGTGAAAACATGTAATGATGACCTGGTTTTATTTTGGATCAACAGAGAGCGACTCTTCTAAACTTTTCAAAATAAGAAAACTTAAGTTTTAGGATTGGTGCCCAGTTGAATGCATATCAGTTTTTATTAAGAAATAAACATTTAGAAGACAAAATATAACCCCTAGGTAACTTTTCTATGGTCTTTAGAGAATCCAAACTTTAAAACCTGTTCCCTTTATTTCCTTCTTGCCTAAATGAAAACAGCTTGTTCACAAAACAATCAACAAGCATTTGACCTCAAACAGATGTCTCCTAGAGAATCACGAATTTAGTAGAAACAGATAACGAAACATCCCATAGAGCTGACTAACTGCTGGACATGTCCATGTGTTCACATGATGATCATGAGGACATGTTATGTGATGAACCTGCTGCAGCAGATCAGGTGGTTGCCTCTGTCAGGCATCACCATTTTTGTGGTCTTGCTGAGCTTGGAGATGTTTCCAAATGAAAGGAAAACCCTGTAATGTGATAAATCTATCATGCAGACATCGTGAAGACATGTCAGTCAACGGTGGCTGCATTCCATTTAGAATTTTAAAATAGAATTTTATGTAAAGTCACATCAAACCAGTTCCTGTTTCAAAGTGTCCAGAATTTAGCCTAGAACTCTAGACCAACCATGGCAGTATCAGGATTTGTTCCTTTATTAAAAACCTGCCACATCCAGTCTACTGCCCTCTGATGGTGGATCTACAAGTGGAAATGACCAATTTTATTTGTCCATCCATCCCTTCACTTTCGTCCACTTATCTGGGGTCGGCTCGCAGGGGCAGCAGCCTAAGCAGAGAGGCCCAGACTTCCCTCTCCCCAGCCTTGGGCCAGCTCCTCCAGGGGATTCCTAAGGTGTTCCCTGGCCAGCCATGAGACATAGTCCCTCCAGTGTGTACTGGGTCTTCCTTTAGGTTTTCTTCTAGTTAGACGTGCCCAGAAAACCTCACCAGGGAGGCATCCAGGAGGCATCCTAATCAGATGCCTGAACCACCTCAACTTGCTCCTCTTGATGTGGAGGAGCAGCAGATCTACTCCAAGCACCTCCCGAATGACTGAGCTTCTCACCCTATCTCTGAGGGAGAGCCTAGCCACCCTGCGGGAGAAAACTAATTTTGGCCGCTTGTATCTGTGATCTCATTCTTTTTGTTACTACCCGAAGCTCGTGACCATAGGCGAGGGTAGAAACGTAGATCAACCAGTAAATCGAGAGCTTCGCCTTCTGATTCAGCTCTCTCTTCACCACAACAGACCAGTACAATGCCCACGTCACTGTAGATCCAGCACCAATCCACCTATCTAATTCATGCTCCAGCTTTCCCTCACTTGTGAACAAGATCTAGAGATACTTAAACTTCTCCACTTGAAGCAGGACCTCATCCCCGACTCGGAGAAGGCATTCTACCCTTTTCAGACTCAAAACCATGGTCTCAGATTTGGAGGAGTAGATTCTCATCCCAGCTGCTTCACATTCGGCTGTGAACCGCTCCAGCGAAAGCTGAAGATCACGTTCTGATGAAGCCAACAGGACCACATCATCTGCAAAAAGCAGAGACCTGATTGTCAGGCCATCAAAACAGATCCCCTCAACACCTTGGCTGCCTAGAAATCCTAGAAAGTTATAAAGTGATGAACAGAATCGGTGATAAAGGGCAACCTTGGCAGAGTCCAACTCTCACTGGGAACGAGCCCGACTTACTGCCGGCAATGCGGACCAAGCTCCGACACCGGTCATACAGGGCGTACAGAGCCCATATCAGAGGGCCTGGTACCCCATACTCCTGGAGTACCCCCCACAGGGCCCCCATGGACACAGACAAATGCTTTCTCCAAATTTACAAAATACATCTATATATGCACCCTCTGGGACCCCCGTAAGTGTATAGAGCTGGTCTAGTACAGCAGAGCTGCATTTATTTGTCTGTTACTGTTATTTAATTAAATAATTAAATGAAAGTGAGGCTTGTTTTATGAGCGATGATTATATAAAGGCTTAACTGGCCTTTGAAGCTTTAATGTGCCAAAGTATTGCCTGAGATCACTCGTAAGGTTCTGTTTTGATAGTTACTGTAATTCTTTCACTCTCTCTCCTGATTAGCTGCACTTCATAGTATGGTTTGAAACGATGCTCTTCCCATGAATGTGTTTTTATATTTGTACTGATAGATGACCACGACTTCAAGTTCGATACCATATAAGTCCACACTCAGTAGAAGATTCATCATTAAGAATATTGTGCCTAACTGAGGGGAACTTTATGACAAAGGTGACCAAAAATGGCAAAATGTTCTGTAGATTAGCAGCCAATAAAGGCCAATGTAAGCAAAATGTATCTCAATACAGTTTTTGTTGCATGGTGGGAAGTGGATGTAAAACAGGTCAGATGAGCACAAGACATGCATGTGTGTTTATTTTCCTCTCCAGGCCACCGGCGGGCCTGGCAGGCAGCTGTACTCCCGCTCACAGATCCTCGCCACAGACGAATGTTCCCGTGCGGCACACATTTCTCGTGTTTTGCAGACATCCAAACAGGCCGCCAGGGCGGCAGGAGGTGGGGGGCCAACGTGTTTCTTGATGTAAAATTGAGAGTTATGGACTTTGAAAGAAGCTATTTACATGCTAGACTAATTTGTCTTTCTGTCCAGTGGCTGAGGAATTTGACCCTGAAGAAAGCCTACACTCCACTGAAGGACAAAGCCACATGTGAGTATACATCATCATAGATAACCTCTGCCATCTGAGTAGAGATGATACACAAGATTTACCTGCTTTCCTGAAGATGCAGACATCTTTCTGGCAGTGCCGGTTAAACGATGCTTGGAAGAGAAAAGGGATGCACCTCTGATATGATTTACATTTCAGACATGTTTTGTAAATTATACTCTTAGCTCTTGAATGGTTTGTGCACATAATGTTCTGTAGTTGTAAATAGTGTGCGTAACTCCCACTTAACAGACGGGCTTTCCCTGTTCTCCCGACATTTCAGCTCCATGCCACGTGTGCATAGTCTCCCCCTCCCACTATCCTAACTCTTAGCTGCATACGGCGCCTTTGTGTAAGTGTGTGGGACAGCAATAAATATGCATAGGTGCACTCTGATTTTTCTCTAAATCACATGTTGACTCCTAGTTCCCATCAGCCCTGCCCTAAACCCCCACCCGCCCACCCTACTCAGTGTCAGTCTTTTGTTTGTCTTAGGCTGATGGTACAGAAAGTTCTGCAGGAGCTAAAGCTGTACCACGGGTAAGTAAACAAGGGAGGGAGGTCTGCACGCCTCTGGTGATGTTCTAACGACATCTCTTTTTCGAGCATCAACAGAGCCAAGTGTTGACACGGGGCTGTATGTGTGTGTGTGTGTGTGTGTGTGTGTGTGTGTGTGTGTGTGTGTGTGTGTGTGTGCGCGCGCGCGCGCAAGTGCAAATCGTACTGTGAGTGCATGCATGATTTTTGCATGCAAGTCTGCTGGATGCGCTGTCACACGGTGTGTCATAAGCCCTGGAAAGGATCTGTGGAGCACTAAAAGTACAATCTTAAAGGTTCACAGCAACACAAATCACCTTCCACTGTCAGATTGCATTTGTTTTTTTCATCTGTATAAACTTTGGCCATGACAGGTTCATCTCTTATGGACATTTAAGGTTTATAGTTGGACCTGTCTCGTGTTGGAACTTCTCTGCATGAACGTTTCTTAATTGTCCTTCACAGAACAAAGCAGAAACGCAACAGTTCAGACGCCAACAATTCAGAAAGTGTCACTTGGTACGAGTTCCTATCTAAGGAGTGAGTATGGCCCCTTTTTATGAATAAAGCTGTGGGAATTCAGAAATGTACTTAACTGAAGTCGGGTTGCATTGAGTAGTTGTGAGGAACAACTCAAAAATGTTTGATCAGTTTAATAAAAAGCTGCTTTAGGTATTATTACTCTTCAACACTTTTGCATGACTCACATTGACACTGTCTTTTCAACTAAACGCAGTCGTGCACTGATTGTGTTTTGCTGCAGATCAGCCATGACTCACAGTTCTGCAAACATGAGCGATAACAGAATAAAAAACAACCTACCTGTTTTCTATGGAGATGAGATTATTGCATGAGCCACATTATTCAAGACCCATTGATTAGACAGACCTTTGGTAAAATGCATTTAATACAGAGATAAAATTTAGCTATGCAACCCAATAAACATTTGCTAATAGATTAACACCTCTGGGTATTTACCGCCTGTGCAATAATCCCACGCCCACTTGAGTGAAAATATCTTGTGTGACTGGCTTTAAATAGAACACCTGAGGTTGTGTGTTGAAGCCTTTCAGTGCCCAAATAATACAATAATTTAAACAATATAATTAATTATTTAATGTCACCAACATTTAACAAGTAACAGTGTTATGTTTTGATAAAAAAAATAGCATGAAGTTGATGCAAGTAGACAAATGACACCAGCCTGATGTGTTGAGCAGAAATACAGTGAGTCGGTACTTCACAAAATATGTTTCTTTATTGAGCTAATTTGTTAGTCTGTCCTGTTTTAAAGAATTTTGCAGAAATGCAAATATAAAAGGACACAAAAGTAAATCAATCAATATATAAATCAATCAATCAATCAATCAATCAATACTTTATTAATCCCAGAGGTAAATTAGAGTTTCAGTACACACAATTCAGAGATCAGACATACATGGGCAAGACACATGACAAGAATTGGTGACTGCGGTCATTCGCAACCCTGAGTCGCACTACCTTAATAGAGATGAGAGGGTTACATGAGGATTGGTTCAGGTGGAGGGAAAAAAAGAGGCAATTCAGAGTTACCCTCCCTCCAGGAGGGCAGCTTTGCTCTGCAAAAAAAAAAAAAAAACACACCTCAAACAGATATGCAACAGACTTCAGACAACACAACATAACATGAGACTCCAATAGGAAGGCGGGGGGGGCTGTGTTGGGATCCTGGGATCCTGTTTCCCCCAGCGAGAGCAGCCATTTATGGCGCTCATCTACTGTACAGTCACAGGTGGGAGGGAGACCTTGGGACAAGCGAAGAGTACATTGACTCCTCCAGCTGATGACCTCGCCAGAGTGAAGTCCACCCATCCGAAGGCGGGGGGGCGGGGGGGGGCTGGGGGGTCAGGTTTTCACAGCATCTGTCTACATTCCTTCGTGGGGGTTTTAGTTGCTTGCTGCTCAAGGCTACCAGGGTGTCAGATTCAGATAACAAGAATTTGTTTGGGTCAGGCTTAGATAATTTTCCTCTCTGCCTTCAGTCTTTAAACTGATCATTTCCAGTCCTTCAGTGAAGCCAATTTTGGGTTTTTAAAACTGTCCATACCGTCCGGTGACTCTCTCCGAGATGACATCCATTTTGCGCACTAATACCAGTATCGCAGTTAGAACATTGTCCAGCTAACGATTCACCTCGAGTAACGTCCCAGTCTGAGAAGTCTCCACACGGACGGTGCTTTCCGTGGATGCGGGTCGCCCTCCAATCGCTCCCGTCTTCCCAAAATTCCAGAAAACCAGATATCCTCCCACTCCAATCAGGAGAAATCCAGGGATCATCAGAACAAATATCCACACGTCTTCGATGTCCTCAATGGACAGCTGGGAGAGTTATATGATCTTCCACTCCTTCCAGGAATCCAAAATATATCCCACCGGGTGTGACCCCTGTGGACATGTGGGAGCCCCCTGCTCCGTTCTCATTTTTCAAAAAATCTTATCGATTGCATTGAATGACCAGTTTATCAAATCCATGGTTAGTAAAAAATAGTTTTTCAAAAGAAATGCAGAGAAGCGCTCTGTGGGCAGACAGGACAAAGAGCCTTGGAAAAAAGATAAGGGAGCGAAAGCGGGAAGCGTCTGTACTCCTCAAGTGCCTGAAGATATTGTGCCATATTAAATCACATATAAACCAAAAATGTTTCTACTTGTTTAAAGAGACGTGTCATTTTTAACTGTAATCTCTGGAAACAACCATCGAAATGTTGTTGAAATTTTTTTATGTAAGATGGTTAAAAAGCTGGGCATGTCTCCGTCACCCTCTGCAAGCCCATCGACAAGCTCTTGCACCGACACATAATGATGTTGTGTGTCTCCAAACCGATGCAGAAGTTTAAATTATATCTAAGTCTCTGGGCTGTGGTGTAATCTGTTTGAGTGTAACTGGGTTTTATTGTGAAGGGGAGGGAGAGGAAGTGAGCCCATGAGGACAAAATGCATTTAATGATTTGTAACAAATGTTACAAAACTTTTGCCTTTCATAAACATTGTTTTACACATTTACCTCTTCACTCATTGTCAGTGATGAACAGGACTCTGATGTGCTTGTTATTTTTCTAGAGGTTGCACTCCCAGGGATTTTTGGCCCTAATGGGCATCCGTTGGTAACCAAAATACTGCTTACTTGCAATGATTTAGTGATGTACTGCCCCCTATCGCCAGGGAAAATGCACATTGTCGCTTTAAAGAACCCCACAAAACATTTTTAAAAATATTAACTAAATATAAATTAATATCTAATGAAAATTTTTTATTTACTCTTATTCCATCAGGAATGAGGAGGAGGAGGAACGTTCAGAGAAGATTGAGAGAGGCACCAAGGTGAAAAGGACCTTCAGTTCTCTGAAGAACAGGGTGTCCCACTCCTTCTATAAAGACAGGGTAAACACCACGGATGAGTAGCGTCATAGCTGAACAGCAGCATGCTCGTGGCTTTTTGTGTTTCCATCATTAGAACTTTCTATCACAAAAATAAACTCCATGTGTAAACACTTTTTCACGTGGTGCACAGTATCTTCTCACACAAACTCTATTACACACTCTGCCTCTGACACAGTTATGTGGTATGAAGCACAACCGTGTAATATATGAAGAATACACATACTTGCATGGACAGACCTTCCTTTATGCATTTGCTTCTTCTCGTTCCTCTGCAGAGTAAGAACCAAGAGAAAGTGTACAGCAACATGCACCAATTGGTGCCAGGCTCCTTCACCAGCTCCACCACCTGCTCACTGTGCAGCAAGACCCTGCAGAACAAGCATGACCTGCAGTGCAACAGTGAGTGGAACCACAGTCGCAGATGTACATGAACCCACGCTTGCTCACGACTTGACACACATGTGCACAGGTGCTCTGCTCACACACACATACACACATACATGCTTAGTTATGCACCACTTTTGGCATGCATGCAAGACTTACTAGAGGACAAAAGCAAATAACTTAAAACAAACACCACCATTAATGTAACCATAACATTATAAAAATTAAAATGAGACTCATTAATGATTATTAACACCTCAAGTGTCGCAGTAATTCCCTTCATAAACATGTTAAAGATATGATGTCACCAGCACTCCTTTAAACCTAGACTTTGCCCTTTTGAGCCCCAAAACAATCGGCTTATGAAAAACTCAATGAACAAAACAATAAATCTGAGATGTCTCCATGTCATTGCAGACACTGACTAAAAGGGCTCACCTTACACTATCCATTCCCTCCAGAAGCAGCTGGTAAATAAATCCTGATGAAATAACAAGGACATTCACTTGGATGAGTGCTGGATCTAAAATGTAGCATGAGTAAGAAAATAATACTTCAATCTCCATACAGTCTATAGAAAAATTAGCGTGACATTTTTTGGGTGCAGATCCTGGTTGTTAGGATTGGTGAGAGTAGAAGTTGGTTCATCTGGAAGAATCTGGGTCGATCTGTGTAGGTCAGGATGCAAACTTCTCTTGTGAAATTTGCAGAAAACAATCCTTTTACATGGGGCATTCCCAAAAGAGAGGCTTTGTATCTTTGACAAATGTGGCAAACCCTTTTAATCAGTTAAACTTTATATTTTAGTCACATCCATTCCTTGTTGATCCCCCAGCTAACATTTAATTTATTTCAACCATTCACACAGACGGCAATGACAAATCCAGAGTAGTGACTTCCCACTGATCTTCTGACTTTACTGGTACTGAAGGCAGCCTTCATGTAATCCACGCGGTGCATCTTGGTTGACAGTTTCACATCAGTTAAAGAACAAAGAAATTGGACTTTTCTCTGTTTTAGTAGCACTTGCGAAACTTGACAGTACTGACGCATGCTGACATCAGCTCATTTCTTTAACATATCTCTGCCACAACATGCTCCCTGTGTCAATATTTCCAAAATATTTATAAACCTTAGTCTGTTGGAGAGAATAAAATGAAGGACTGTTTCTAATATCTTATTTAACAAAGGTGTTCTGGCATATTTCACCGGACACAGGGCAATGAGAGGGCATTCTACTTTTTCTTTTTGAAATAACCTGAAAACAAGAATAATGAGAACTGATCTGCACTTGTACAGCACTTTTCTGAGCCAGAGGACTCCAAAGCACTTAACACTACAGTCATCCATTCATCCATTCACTCACTCACTCACTCACTCACTCACTCACTCACTCACTCACTCACACACACACACACACACACACACACACACACACACACTTTATATATATATTTCTCACAATTGTCAAACATCAACAATTAGTATGATTGTGTAAATATGGCAAGCTGTTATAACTAAACAGCACTTCCATTGTTACCAACTTTTCACATGTCAGCTTTAACACGTCTTACAGTTAAATTTACATTCTTTGTGTGATTTTATTGAAGGTGCAATGTGTAACAATAAAGTAAGATGACATCCTGTGGTTAAAGGTTTCTCTCTCACTCCTGTTTTGTGAAATTTGGATTAGCACCAGAAGATTCTAGATGACAAACAAAGACAAGTCGCACACAGTAAGATGATGAGTAGATTACTACATTGTCATTAGTGGTGTGCATCTCTACCTGCCTCACGATTCGATCCGATTCCGATTATCTGCCTAAAGATTCGATTAGAGTCTGAAATTCATCACGATTCTTCACACAAAAATTTTCATTACTTAATAAAAGCAGTAGAATAGTTTTCAATTTCTTTTTTATTTCGATATCCCTGAAAAACAGAACATTCATCTATTCACTATACTGAGCAGCAATTTTTAAAGTGTGTTGCCTATAATTACTTAAATAATATAAGAAATAATGTTTTCTGTAGAGCAGCTTTAAGATAGAATACAACTGAACTTAAAAATAGTAAACAAATACTGTGTTAAGTGATTCTTTCACATCCAGGATCCCAAAACCGAAATTAGCCCAGACATCCGATTTAAATGTAACGGGTACATCTTTGATTACTGGTAATGTTCGTCCTGTATCCCTGTCCGCCATTTCTGTTTTAAATTGGCGCTAGGGCAACGCAGTGCGCATGTCATTGCAACTCTGCCCTCAGAATTAGTTGTAAAACCTCAAAACTTTATTGTCCTCGCACGTCCAGAACATAGACATAGACATAGGGAGAAAATCTCGTTATGTTACGTTGCTGCATCGATGCAGAATCATGCATGGCTGAATCGCGATGCATCTTAGAATCGATCATTTTTCCAACCTCTAATTGTCATAGCTGGTGCTAGCACTCTTGGGTGTTTTACGGTAGTGAGCACTTACAATTATTATGGTAATATGCCTTGGAATAGAGGAAGCGTGGTTGTTTACTGTCTGGCTGGCAGCTTGCTACTCTGAGCGACTTATTTAAGGAAGTAAAATGCCACTATTGAATTATTCACTTCACACACACATTTTCCTGTAAAATTGAGTTGTTGGTAATTGACAAAGTAACTTGAGATATTTTTAGATCCCGCTGTTTGCTTCTAATTTACCGTTAGCATTGTTAGCTCAATGTTAGCCTCTAGCCTGCTTCACCCGAAATTAGAGTAAAACAAAAAGATGCTATGGCTTCTTGGTTTCACACTGAAAGCATCAGCAGCATGACACATGATGTAACGTTATATTTTATATGTATAATTTTCAGTATGAATGTATAACACGCCTTTTACTTTTTAAATTGTGCATCTATTGGTTAAATAAAAAATGTAAGCAAGTTACTACCAGCCACCAAAGCTGCAACTAACCAACAATAGCCAACTGCTTTGGATATAAAAAATGACGTTTTAGATATCAGCCCGATGGCTACAATTAGTTTACTTATATTTAAACTGAAAATTTGCCTCCAAAATAGCTGCCGGTTGCTGATCTGCCATTCTTTTGAAAATACCATGCTGTATTCTTGGAAATGTTTGACCAAGGCCAGGCTACAAGGCACTTTCCGTGTATACTTGCTCAGCTAGCTTAACGGCTAACAAATGGAGAACAGACGCCTTGATTGAACATTGGAACACGCCTTCGCGGTTCCCGATGAGGTATCTCCTAGGCAACTGGGACAGAAACAAGACATCAAGGCAAGGTTCCTTGACATTGGGTGTTTCTCAATGTCAAGGCAAGGCACCTTGCCTTGCGAGGCGATGTCTTTCGAGGCCAGGCGCCTTGCTTACAAGGACAGTGTCCTTCCTTGGTCAAAGAAAATGGTTAAATGGAACAGACTTGCATCATGTGACCGCGGCTTCCACGGTGGTCACGTAACGTCACGTGACATGGGAGATAACGTTATATTTTATATGTATTAGTTTCAATATAAATATATAATGAGCCTTTTACTTTTTAAATTGTGTATATGTTTATTAAATTAAAAATACAGGCGAGTTACTACCCACTGGCCACTGAAGCGACAACTACTAAGCAGCTAACCAACAATAGATAACTTCTTTGGATCTAAAAGAAAAACATTTGAAATTAGTTGACTTACTTTTAAACTTAAATTGTCCCCGAAGTAGCTGCTGGCTTCTGATCCACAGTCTTTTTGAAAATACCGCGGTGTATTGTGGGTAATTTTTGACCAAGGCTAGGCTACAAGACACCTCCCATGTATCCTTGCTCAGCTAGCTAAACTGCTAACAAACGAAGGACACACGCCTCGGTAGAAAATGAGCATTGGAACACGTCTTGGCGGCTCTCGATGACGGATATCCTAGGCAACCGGGGCGGGGCCAAGACATCAAGGCAAGGTTCCTTGGCACAGAGAAACACCCATTGAGAATCACCCAGTAACTACGTTCCTTCTTCCTTTATTTTGACAGGAGAAAAACTGAAAAAATCTGGCTGAGAATTAAATATGTTTCAGTATAACTCCAACACAATTTAGACATCAGATTGTTTTGGAATTATTTCACTGTAGAAATTCTACTTTATTCTTACACACTGCACCTTTAACTGGCTCATGTTCAAATAAACATTCCTACTAATATTTCTTATAATATTTTAATTGATTTTTTATTTTTACTTTTTTAAAAGCAAATTATTACTGCACAATTTCAGCAAAAATATCCTCCTCTGCTCTGAGGAAGAATCCTGTTCTAAAAATTATGGTTTGGAAAAGCTCATGTATTTTATGATATACTGGCTTTCTGCAGTAGGAAAATAAGTGGGTGTCCCTTTAATTCGAACCGAGCCCTGTGGGGATTCAGCCTGTGGAATGCGTCGTTTGTGTTTTGTGTGCCAGAGATTGTTCCCAGCGGAGACTCAAAACTTGACAAAGTCAATAATGTAGATACCTGTTACCACTTTGAGATATGAGATTTGTTAGGATTTGTGAGGGTGTGCGGCTCCGTTCGGATGTAGCTAATTCACACAACCTGGAGTCTTGCTGAAACGGTAAGAAGCCGCTACTGTAGCGGGATCAGGTGGATGTTGTCCCGTTGTTTCACTCAGGGGACTTAACCATTCTGCCGCTTGATAACAAGCTAATAGCTAATCCATTTAAGTACATTTTTTATTTTTGTTGCTCCACTGCATTATGCCTAATGTTAAGTAGTGTGTCAACGATAGAGATACGCTTCACAACTGTTCTGATACGTAATGTTTTAACAACTTCACTAAAATAGATAAGTTAGTGTTGTTTTTGCCTGCTAGCTGTTAGCATTGTACTGCTAGTGTCTTAGCTGCGTCTAAAACAGCGTTAAAGTTGAGTTAGCCGTTAGCTTTAATTAGCCCACGGTGATCGCAAAATGCCGTGTACAAAGAATTAAAACATTTTGAGTCCAACGTTGCTTTGAGTACAATTTTATGTGATTTCCATTGATGCTGCGTTTATATTTATATTGAAGCTCAACAGGTGACTGCTAACGTAGCTAATGTTAGCTCGTAGGTAACTTGTGATAATTTGCCCAAACGCAGCAGATAAATGTACTGTCTTGCATAGTGGATATATGAGTACAACATTAACTTTAACTTTGTCTTGGCAGAAAATTATTTTTAACGCTTTCCGGAGAAGTAAGTAATGTGTGTTTTTTTAGGTTAAGATAAGTTGAGTAAATAAAATGACAGTACAAAAATTCGCGGATTTTAAGACACTGTTTGCAAAACAATGTCTTATTAGAAACAAACTTTCATAAAGTCACAAGAAAACCAGATTTCCACAAGACCACAATGTCAATAATTCCCATCATTAAGAGCCGGGGCCCTGCATGTTGCAGTTGTCCCTGGCTTCAACACACCTGATATAAATAGATGGATAACTAACAGGTTTCTCCTAAATCTGATAACATGCAAAGTAGGTCATTTGAATCAGGTGGGTCAATAAAAAAAAACTTGGAGTTTGAGATCTAAATTGTTTTATCACATTATGCTTCAAGTTGAACCATTTTATCATGTTTTGGAGCTAGTGATTACGAGACAATAGATATGTGCATGTTCATACTGTTTCATATTCCTGGTCCTTTCCCAACAAGCTAGGTGTGTGTAACACCACGTAAAAGCAACTTTTAAGCATAGCTGTGTTTTCAAATTTGCCATTCAAGTAGCGATGCTCCGATATAAAAATGTTGTGCCGATACCTATATTAATATCACTGTTATGGCCGATAACTGATATTTGCCGATAAGAATACACCAACATTAATGCTTCTAAAATCATCAAATTTAGTATAGAATGAAAATTATTAAAGCTGAGGTTATTATGTACAAACACCACACACATTTACGCTTCTGAGATGATTACAATCACTGTCATGTGACTAAACAAATACCCCCCCACCCCCCACCCCTCTGAAACTGATAAATGGAAACAAGATGGAAAAAATACTGGTTAATATCATTCCAGTTTTATTTATCAGACCGATACCGATATGTTAAAAAATGACTAACATCTGCCGATACTGATATTGATGCCGTTATATTGTGCATCCCTACATTCAAGGGATAATTTTTTTCATATTTAGTTGGTCGTGCTGCATGTGACAAGTCATTCACAAGTTAAGACACCTCTATTGCTAACTATTTTCTTTTCCCTTAAATGGATAAGGGCTTTAGAATGGACTGAATAATCAAAAAATGTGGAAAAAAAAACACTTTCAGTAAAGTGAGGTGCATATCACAGACCTATTAAAAAATTATGGGCTAATCCAATTTAATACCTCAAACCAATGAAATGTCATGATCTTTTGATGTTTGATTCAGATTCTTGCCATTCCTCTGAGCTGGTGATGCCATCTGCCAGAGCTTAATAAGCCTGAGGCAGCAGGAATGTCCCAGACTAAGGGGTGACCGTTCAGCCTGTCCCTTTACACTTCAGCCTTGTTGCTCTCTGACCAAACACCGAGCTTTTTCTCTGACTGGGTCGCATGGCGTTAATTGTGTCTGGCAGGCCTGCCTGTGCATAACAGGCCAGTTCACTGATTCTAGATCTGAACAACCTCAAACTGTTAGCACACACAACTTGCATGTGGATATTGTAACTCTGCTTTTCAGCATTTCATCTTTTCTGGGTGTCTGTCTAATGCTTGGAGATATTTCCCCCAGTTTTGCTTCATCAATAAACAACAGCTGGGAAGTGCAGATGTTGGGTGTGTGTGCTGTATGACAAAGACAATCATTACATTCTAGTAGAGTCCAACTTCTTATCTGGACTTATTTTCTGGTGTTTTCTTGGGTGAAAAATGCGACCAGCAGATCTATTAACTCCCTCAGGATCACTTGATGATACAGTATTGTGTTTGCCATTTGAAGGCAAGAGCTTGCCAAAGATGAAATTGTATTCATTGCCTGTATTTCCTGCAATAGCAGTAATTAGTGAGGTTTTTAATTATCTTTGTGTAAAAGTTTACATTTAATAAGGATTATGATCGTGACGTCATCACCGACGCGGCCACCCCGTTGGCGGTCTACAAGTCCTTACTTCTTGCTTGTTACTACTGTAAACTGCATGCTCAGTCCCGTTCTTGGGGCTTAAATTAATCTATTATTCATTTGATCGGTTATATTATTCAACCATGATGAGTCATTGGTGTGGTGGGGTGCAACACGTGATCACAGGTGGAATAAAGATGGTGAAAAATTAGCCCATTTTCCTGCTTGGAGGCACAGCCACAAGACCCAAGTATCTAGCATAATAACAAAGTCCTGTCAGCTCACCTGGATCGCAGCTGTAAGGCGTCCAAACATCACCTTCTGGAGTATTTTCATTCTGGTAAGATACAGACGATGTATGATTATAAAAGTATTTTTTATATAAACAATATAATATTGTTTCTTTCCTTCAACTGCAACATGCATCCACAACACACACACACACACACACACACACACACACACACACACACACACACACACACACACACATGGTAAGCTAATGCGGGCGCACTGAAACAACACAATTTTTCCTGCTACACTTCTATGGGACAACAATTTTGATTGTTTTACTAGGAAAACCAGCAAATGAAATGTTTACCTCCCATCTGGATGTTTATATTCGCTCACACCATAAACAAAAAAAGGCGGAAACATTCGATATGGAGAGCTGCAGCAGCAAGTTGTTGTCAGTGCTCCAGTCTTGGGTCTTTCATATGGATCCAAACTGTTTATAAGGCTGATTTTTGTCCATAAACCAGTCCCCAACATCTTTATTTAATGTATCCCTGTACATTCCGCATCCTTTTTGGGATTTAACATGTTGTTTAACACTTCCTTTCTCCCAAATCTGCTTCTTCTCTGCGACATGCTGTTTGTTTTCATGGTTTGAAAATGATAGAAAGTAACCGGAAAAAAAATCAAGCTTTTAACTGAGTTTGTCTTCTGAGGATGTCTCATGGTCTCTCAAAAGCTGTGAGAAGTCGTGTTTGTGCATTTGTCAGATTTAGCTGTGCTCCTTATGTGCTTCAGCGCAGAACTGCTTGATTTCTATTTAAGTGAGACAAATCGCTTAGCAGGTCTTCAGATGTGTAAAAGCTTCTAGTGGAACCAGTAGATATTTAGATGATAAATATTTGGACTAAGACTGCCTTTTTTAATAAACATGGGTTATTACCTAATCGTTGATTAAAGAAAGTCAGTCTGCGATAGGTGTGTGTGTGTGTGTGTGTGTGTGTGTGTGTGTGTGTGTGTGTGTGTGTGTGTGTGTGTGTGTGTGTGTGTGTGTGTGTGTGTGTGTGTGTGTGTGTGTGTGTGTGTGTGTGTGTGTGTGTGTGTGTGTGTGTGTGTGTGTGTGTGTGTGTGTGTGTGTAGCTGGGCTGGAATTCTTCTTTGCATATTGGGTAACATAATTTGTTTGGTGACTCATCCTTCAAGAAGGGCTTCACTTGGTTAGCTTCCCTTTAGCTGATCTACAAGTTCACGCCAAATCAATCAAACTATGTCGTTTTTGATGACTAAAAAGAAAGTGTGCTCTTCCCGGGATGTTGTTCTATGGCTAGCCTGATTTGGTTTCTTTGCCGACCAGCACAGATACAATCGTTCATTCCACCTAAACCTGATGGGACTCGGTTTGTTTTCCATACAGGACGAATAATGGTCATAAAAAGAAACCTGTTTCTGAGAAATAGGGTGTTCCTGACCTGCTCTTTAGTGTGACGTGTACCATGTAAACAAACTTCAGCTTTCAAGATGCACAGAGTAGTGCTGCTTTAGCTTAGATGGGATTCTTTTCAGCAGATGACAAAAAACAAACCGTTAGGTGTTGCTTTAAAATCTCCCTCTTTTACTCTGGGTACTTGGTTCATGTTGTCACTTGTCATGTCTGTGTCCCAGCTGAAGGCTGACTGTGGTGTGCTGTCTGCATGTGGTGTGGCTGCTCTGATGGGACACTCACTCCATGTTCCTGCCCTGTTTTTCAGATTGTGCAGTGAATGTTCACAAGAACTGCAAGTATCTGCTGGGTGAGTGCACCAGCAGGAAGAGTAAGGTAAACATTACACTCAAGTGTAGATAAAAGATGTCCAAGGCTAAAGCTGGGTCACATTAGCTGCACCAGTGCTACATGTACACGTGCAATCTGACTCTTTGTCATTTTGATGTGGGGATTTTAATTAGTTGGTAAATGACTTATTTTCATACAGTATTAATAGCTCTCTGGTACGGTACCTCACAAAATAAATCACCACACAATCCGCTTTCAGAGTAAAATGTGGTCTGGTCTCCTTGACCATATTGGAAATTGTACATGGTTGTACCACTAAACTGATCACAAAGTCTGTAATTTAGTTCTCCAAATGTGTCTTCAGCTCTAACATCCACACTCTAAATTTGTCACCCAACCCAGCTGACTAAAAGAGAAACATAATGAAAGCAGTGTTTTGTCCCAGATCGTCTGGGACAAACAAGCTGTAACAATAAAAGACATGTCTTTTGTTGTTACAGCTTTTTCGTCCCAGATCATGAGGGTCAATCGAGCTGTAACCGTAAAAGACACGTCTTTTGTAAGACCTAAAAAGATTCCAGTATTTCTGCGGTGTAAGCTCTTCAGCTAACGGGAAAACACTCCTGCATGTGAACACTTGTATAACATCCTCCAGTTAGAAGAAAAATATAAATAATTATTTATTTTTAGATGTACAGCCATTCAAGTTGGTGTCCTCTAAAGACAAAACCAGTGTGGTGTTTTAAAAAATCTTACCATTTTAGTATCTGCCTCTCACCTGGAAAAAGGCTCGAGAGAGTGGCCGTGAGTAAACATTATCTTTATTTTTTTTTTCTACACAGAGAGATTCTCTTACAAGGGGTGCGACATCGGGATCTCCTAACCTTGGTAAGCAAAAAATATTTATGTATAAATTTTAGGGCTGAAACGATTCCTCGAGTACCTCGAATAATTCGAGTACAAAAAATCCTCGAGTCAAATTCTCTGCCTCGAGGATTCGTTTAATTCATATTTAATTAATTCATGGTTTTGCAAACGCACGGGGTCATGTTTCACCTGGACCGAAATAAGTGACGCACATGCCCACTGCACTGCGAGTAGCGAATGTAACTTAACTTTCTCTTAAGCCATGGTGGACAACTTGAACCCCGGTGGAGTGCGAAAAAGACAGAAAATGTAAAAGTTGTGGAACCATTTTTCACGTCGTAAGGTGGAAAACGTAGTCCAGTATAAATACTGTAAAATGGATTTGGCCTACCACAACATCACATCTTCCGTGCTGCAGCACCTGTAAATGTCACTTCTGCAAGCGGACTCGGATCCTCTACAAGATAGTGCATTTTAGCCTTTATTTCTATATATTCTGCAGACACTGTGCGACTTTTTCGTTTGTAGCAGTCAGTTTCAGCTCACACCGTACGTCTGGTAGCAACACGTCGGACTTAAAATGTGCTAAAAATTGCAGTTTTTACACAATATGTCGGACTTTTTATTGTGTTGTTATTGATATTTGTGTCCCTCGGGATTGCTGCAGGAGGACGCAGGTATTTATGAGAGTGGTGGAGGAAAACGAAAGAAAGTAAATAAATGTTTTGTGATCAGTATAATTTGACAAAACCACAGCAAACATGCTTTCTCGACAATCCTTGTTATTGTGTGAGAAAAAAAAGTGTAGAAATTAAAACGGACGTGTGTTAATAGGGAAACAGCCGGCGAGCTGTTTGCGCATGCGCCGTGAGCGGTTCTGGTTCTGTTTGGGCCGCAGCCGCTCGCAGCGCTACTTCAACAGTTATCCTCCTAGTTTTTGTCTGGCTTGCAGGCTGGTAGATTCTCGCACGAGGGGAAAATCGGCTCAGGTTGTTTACTTATTTTTTGCACACGCATTTGTTTACTGTGAAGTAAAGTTGAAGTGCTGAAGTTTTGCAAACTTAATTTTGAATAAAACTTGAAGAATAACTGGCAATTGCTTTCTCATTTTGAGAGGTCTTTCATATTTTATAACATGCTATTTGATATAATGGTTTACAAACACAAAAGGGTAATTTATTAGAGTACTCGATTAATCGAAAAAAAGATTCGATAGAGTACTCGATTACAAAAATATTCGATAGCTGCAGCCCTAATAAATTTTGCATTTATCACCTTTACTGTCGTGCATGTCTTACTGGTTTAAGTCTTCAATATGGCCTCTCGTGTGTGTGTGTGTGTGTGTGTGTGCGTGTGCGTGTGTGTGCGCGCGCGCAGCGAGATCAGGTTGGACTCCAACGGTCAGTAAGAGAAGGTGATGATTGCTTGTTGCTGGGAAGAGTCTGATGAAACACACTCGGCTCCTTTCTTGTTTAATTCATTTCAGAGGTTTAAATCTACAAAGACTTTGTGCACAAATACTAGAAAGATATAAAACGTATGCGTGATGCAGATAATTTAGATTTTATATGAAGTTTTAGGTTATTTCTGTGCCACCAGGCTTCATTGTCTGTGTAACATCTTTGGACTAATTTATCAAAAGTGGAACTGTTTTTAAACCCATATGAGACCGTTGGAGTTAAGAAATGCACTTTAATTTGTTAATATTGCTCATGATCAAGGTTTCCAGCCTAGAAAATCTTGGTAAAGGCTGATAATGACATTAGCAGGTGCTGGTGCTGCGTGTGATCAAACCCACAGGAGACACGGGTGTCTGCGGCAGAGTCTGCTTTAGTTAATCTCCTGTAGCAGTTGTTGTTCTCCTCTGAACAGCTGGAGTCTTGTCAACCACACCTGATCTCTCGGTGTTTTGCTCCGGCCAATCAGTGGCTTGCACAGGGGGTCAGGAAGACGACAAGAAGAGGCAGGAGTTGATGTAAGAATGAAGGGTCAGAATTTGCTAGAAATATAAAGTGCGCATGTCTTTCCAGAATTTACCACAACACGTGGGACATGGACGTGTATAAAATGTGGGTTTGTGTTCTCCTGGGCTGCTGCCACATCTCAGCCTTTATATCCAGTGAAACTGACTAATGAACTTTGCCTCTTTGGAAATTGGATCGTTATACTTCATTTGTGTTTGGGTCATTTGCAATGGACCTAGCAGTTAAAGGCTCCGGACAAACCATGGGTGCCTCCAAAAGTTGTTCGAAAACTCTCAAGTCCTCCTCCCCTTCGTTCTCCACCTCATCCTTGGGTCTTTCTCGACGGGTCGGCATCCGAGTTCTGATGCACCGTGACGTGGTCACCTGCCGGTTCTTCCGATCCGTTCCTCGATCTTGGCTGAAAAAGTCTTGGGGTCGACTAGAAAAAGATTCAAACAAGTCCTTCTCTTCTCCTCTTCACTGGTCATCTTCTCCTTTCTCTCTGCCCTCACGTTCCTCCTCCTTCCAGTCTGAGTTTCTTCGTTCATCTATTTCTCGTCTCTCTTTCCCAGCGCTGAAAGACCGGGACAGAGAGAAGGATCAGGCTGGCACAGCGGCCCTGAATGGCCACAGAGGTTTTCTCACTCTTCCAGGCATGACCGTTAGCTCAAGTGGACCTAGCACTCAGCAACCTACCGCCCCTAACTCTAGTGCCACATCAGTTTCTGCTCACAGCGCTGGTCTCCGTCACAACAGCAGCTCAGGGTAAATGCCTCCAAATGAAAGCTTTTTTTTTTTAATAACTGTCCTTTTTTATTTAAAATTACATTTTTATTAAAATTGGAGCAACAGTCCTCTCTGTGAACAACATTGTGCTGTAGATGTTTGTAGATCTGCTGGATGCTTAATGTTTTAATGTCGACTTTCTCTTCTCTGTGCTATAATAATGTGTATTTACATCAGACATAAACGCATGCCGACTTTTGTAATGTAACAACATCAGTTAGTGTGTCTAAACATTTTTCTTCAGCTGCTTTGTGAAAACTTAAAGTGTAGGCAGACAGCGGAGGCAGCAGGAGTAAACCAACATGTGCACTGATAGAAGAAAGACAATCAGTTGTCTGGTTCCCCTCCTGCCTCTGATTCAGTCTGCCTTGTGCTTCTCTGGATTAATGAATATGTTGGTTCCCGGGGATAGGTTGTGGGATTAAGTTGTCACTTGGAGCGTGTGTGCCATGTTGAACCTGCGGTTGTCTTCCCTCAGATCCCTCCCTGGGGAGATGGATGAGACCGATGCTCTCCGCTCCAAGCGCTGCAACGAAGACGCCATTTCCCTTGCTCCTTCCATAGCAGAGTCGATCATCGTTGAGGGTGAGCTGAGTTGAACTGTTGGTTTGTTTATCTTTCCAAGTCCTTATGGTGAAATTGCCTCTTTTACCAACACGCCTGGCTCTTCTCAGACTTTTGAGTCTGTGACGATCTGTTTGTTTGCCTGGAGGGAGTTTTCATAAAACCAGAGAGGAGAGTGTGTGTGGGGTGTTTTGCTGAGCCATGGTTTCAGTGAGTCTCATTAAGCTGAAGTGTGTGTGTGTGTGTGTGGGGGGGGGCACTGGATGTTAGAGTTCTGTGTTTTCACTGTGTTACCATGACCTGGAGTTTATCATGTTATACCACACTTATAACTCAGGGGGCTTTTGCAGTTTAAAATGTTGTTCTCTTTGTCATCCTAATGCTCTCAGAAACGGGGTATCATGCCAGGATACGTCTAATCTGTGTTGTCACAGTCATGGGATTATTAACAGAAATCAAAGTCTGGTGACATGTCAGCAGGGAAGGATCCATTGATTTTTGATACTTCACAGTAGGGGTGTACTGGTTAACCTTTTTACAACAGGTAACCAGTTACCTCTGCTCACTGATTTACTGTGCTCACCTCACACTGACACTGGCTAAATAAACAAAGTGGGAAAAAAACATTAGTTCCTATATTATACAGTTTACCAATAAAGGGTTGAAAACAATACTGGCAAGTGGTGAACAAAAGAAGAAAAATGTTACTGCCGCGACTGGGAAGCGAGCCTGCGCAAAATAATGCCAGTCTGGCACTCGAACCAACAATAGTCGCCTAACATACATATCCTGAGCTGGCCATTACGTGTGTCTTTGTAGACAGGACGCATGTTTTTTACGGCGGTGTGATTATCTTAGCATTTCTAAGTGGTTTAGCTGTAAATAGTTAAGTCGATAAATATTTTACATAGTTTGCTTTTGTTATTTAAATGTAGTTTTGTTGCACTCTGTTTTGTGTTGGATAGTTAGACGTTATTTAAAGGGATACTATGCAACTTTTTCACATTTTTAAATCATTTTCTTGAGCCAGTATGTACTAAAATGACCCTTTACCGGGTTAATGAAAAGTCACTCAGACCCCACCGCCCTCTGTAGCCAGAATATCACACTTGCAACTTCATTGTGGCGGGCCGCTGTTTAGCCGACATACCTGGCGCTGCATTCTGCTTCCATCACGTTTTACATCATGAACACATCTGATTTGTTAGATTTAGTGATGAATCCCTTCTGTAGATGCGTATGACGGCTGGGGAGACATTTCACACTGCCTAGTCTCCTTTAAAATTATAAAATGTTGGTTGAATGTAAGTTTGTAGATTGATTTCACAAATATTTTACTTAATTTTTTGGTAATAAATTAATTTTAAAACAAAAAATGTGAGGAGCCGCTTGAGAGCCAAAAGAGTCGGTTCATTTTAGTGAGCCGAGCCATAAGAACCAGTTCTCTTAAGAGTCTGAGTTCCCATCACTATAGGAAATAACATCACATGGTTAAAACTCTAAAAGTTGGATTTTCCATGAAATGGCCCCTTTAAACGTGTTGAGCCAGTATTTAACACCATAACAGTTTTCATGAGTGTTCACGACACGAATCGGGTCAACAACAGACTCCCTCTCACTCAAGGTTCAGCCAGACCACGCCTACATGCCGCTAAGCACACCTGGAAACAGGAAGTAAATTCCCCCCAGCAACTGCTATAATATATTTGGTGCCACTAGAGAGTGTGAGAGCGCTGTGGACTCAAAAACCTTCAAAGATGAAGCGGTCAAGAAAGAGCACAGCATGGTAGAAGAAGAGGATCTTTGATATAGCACCTCTCAAGATTAAAATCATGAGGTGCTTCACAGAAACAAAAAAAAGGTAGAAAAGGATTTTAAAAATGATTAAAAATATGTTGAAAAGGACAAAAGAATAAAAAATGTAAGGGAGAGAAAATTAATAGGAAAGAGGGAAATCAATGGATCCCTGGAAAGGCAGAATAAGAACAGAACAAGGAAAGGGTGTTGAAAACCACCTTGAACAGGTGAGTTTTCAGCTGCTTCTTAAAGGAGTGGTGGCATTTTATTCTTGATAGTGAACAGAATGAGCCCCACATCGAAGCGCGTAGCCTGGCAGGATGTGGAAAAAGAAGCTGCGGTGCAAAATGAACAGAGACCAGCAACAGCTCAGTCTGCCATGATGCTCCTGCCTCCTAAGAGCTATTCTTCCTGGGGTCATAACGTCATCCAAAAAAAAAAAAAAAACATTATTCATGCATCAACACTGGGCTCACAAACAATCCATTTCACTATTCAATATAAATCTCCACTATAAGAGCACACCACATTCCACCCATTACAGCACCAAAATAACATACATTTCCCACAACGTAAAACGCCAATGACTCCACACATACTGGACAACAACACATAAAATTAATAAAACATAATTTTATGTTTTGCTGTCCAGTATGTGTGGAGTAATTGGCGTGCGTCTGGGGTGTTTTTCGGTTAACTTACTATTTACGGTTAAGAGCATCAAACACCGGTTGAAGATATTTAGGGAGGCGTGCATCAAATCAGTGAATTTCCATTAAGGATGCTCTGTTGTCTGAAGTAGTTAGCTTGTGTCATTCCTGCTGCTCTCTTAGATGCTCACTATGCAGCAGTGCGGGCTGACCTTGAGTCAGACGCTCAGGACTTGGAGGCAGACTCGTGGAGTTTGGCAGTGGACTCCCAGTATCTGAAGAAGCACTCTAAAGAAACCGTGAAGAGGCAGGATGTGATATATGGTAAGTTGGATTTCTCCATCACACCGTAAGCCTAATTTATACTTCTCCATCAGCTGGGTAGTGTTGTAAAACAATTCCTCGCCAGTACAACAGAGGGCGTAGTGCTAGTCTGAGATATCCAGCCACCATTACAGTCGCGTATTTAGTCTACGATAGTGTTTTTACTATTGTGTTTACATTGTTTTTAAGTATTTCAGAGACTTTTGAACATGAACATGAACACTAATTTGTCCCCATCCACCTCATCAACTCACGTTTCTCGTCTTTTCTGTCCACGAATAAAATGCTTGCTGCATATCTTTGTACTCCTTCAGTCACGGGTGAAAAAACGTTCATACCTTCAGACTTTTGCCGCAAGGCATTCTGCAGTTTGTTCCGCGTCTGTCGCTAAATATCTTTTTACTTTTTTACGAGGAAATGTTGATCAATTCACAAGAAGCAGCGTCCTGACCTGTATAACCCCCAAATTCCACTACCTCCGCTCCGCTGCACTCCGCTCCGACACGAACGCCGGAGCAAAATCGGTCCCGTTCTAGTCAATCAGAGCAATTCCACTACTGCGGCCGTGCTCCGGCAGTGCGGCGCCGTGCGCCGCCCTCTGTTCCGGCGTCCGGCAAAAATAGAATTGATCCTATTTTTGCCGGACGCCGGAGCACCTCCGCAGTCAATGGACAGAAATCACAAACGCCCAACAGGAAAAGGAGCGAGCACAACTTCCGTTTTTCACAATATATCGATAAACAAAAGGCGTTTTTTGTTTCATATGCACAGGTTTAACAACTTTTAACAACTATCAGTGGCGGCTGAAGTTTAAATGCACAAAAGTAAGCCATAAATACAGTTTCCACTATCAAAGTAGTCACACTTTGTTGATCCAAACACTGCTGATCTCTCAACACAAATGATGGGCAGATAAAACAGTTCATGCCGATGCTTCTCCCACACAACGGGTGTTTGGATCTAACTTCCGCGTTTACTGCTCGGACTGTATCGCAAGATCTCGAAAATCCCGCGCATGCTTGTTTGCCCCCCTCAGGTCTCCGCACCGGAGCGGAGCCGTTGTAGAGCTGGTAGCAGTAAAAATTGAGTTCGGAAGCGAGCGGCTGCGGAGGGCGGGGGCGGAGCGGAGCGGAGGTAGTGGAATTTGGGGGTTAATTAGGCTTTACACCTGTTCAGTCATCCATGTTTTAACAAATGATGTTTGAAAAAGAGGATTAATAGTTAAATAGTTTTTAGAAGTTCTTTTGTGCTTTCGTACCGTGTTTTTGTCCTTAATACATTTTTTAGTTCTTTTCTTACAGTTTAGTAAAAATTATTTGTTTACTTGACATGTTTCAGCTAGTAGCTCTAACCATCCTCCGAGATCGCCGGTGATGGTGGCGACCACCATCTAACGCCACCATCACCAGCGAGAGAGAGTTTACCAACAAAGGGTAGCGAGTAAGAAAAGAACCAAAACATAGATGTTTTTAGAAGTGTTAGTCTTGGTAAAAATCAAAATTGAGATTTTTTTTTTATTAATTTTTTTGTTTAAGTGGAATTGAGTGGGATTATAATTAGATTATGTTGGAACTGGTGAAACTGGATTTATTTAGTTGACTTGATTAGGGTTGGGCATCGAGCATCGGTTGGAACCGGGACCAACTGTCAGTTTTTCCCAGAATTGTTCAAAGTTCTTTATTTTGATTCCTAGTTTTGATTCCAAGTATGCCGACCGGAAAAGGAATCTACAGCCGATCTCTCTCCGTGAAAAATAAACGTGATCTGCCAATTCTGATGAAAGCTTTTCAGAGCTGATCACACCAGCTGTCTGCCGCTCTACTCTGCATCTGCAGAGAGCCCGTGTGCATCACCAAGTCGTCCCAGACATCACCCTGATGGTTGTAATTAAAAACAGCTGGCCTTTTCTGGTTATGTTGGAGACATTTGACTCTCATCCCAGAGGCTTCTTCCATACTTTGGTTGTGGTCAGAAACAAACATCTTCTTTATTTCTCGAAAACATGTTTTTGTCTAGATGAAGGTGATGTTATTGTTGATAGAATTAAAATTCATGTTGAAGTTGAGATTATTTCATCAAGTAGGACCTGTGGTTCGCTGGCTCACTTAAAACATGTAATGTCTTGAAAGAATCGGAACTGGGAATCGAAGCGAGGAATCGGAACTGGAATCGAAGGGAGGAATCGGAATTGGAATTGCTCAAAATCCTGACATTAGTTTTGTTAGCAGCATTGAACCGACAGCACAGAGATGACGTCACCCTCTCTAATTTTTCACCCTATATGGTTTTATTTTGAAACAAAAATCCCATTCCATATCACTGGCTGCCTTTTTTTCTCCATGAGTACGGTCTTAGTCGGTAACTGTTCGCTTTTCTTTAGACGTAACTTCCTCCAAATTTCTGCAGAAAGAAAATAAGTTCATGTTAAAGCACCAGTAGCATCAGTGTGTTTTATGAACCTCTGTCTGCGGTCACTCAGAGCTGATGCAGACAGAGATGCACCACGTGCGAACGCTGAAGATAATGCTGCGGGTGTACGTCCGAGAGCTAAAGGAGAGCCTGCAGATGGACTCGAGCCGAATCGACTGTCTATTCCCTCGTTTGGAAAACCTCCTGGACCTTCACACACACTTCCTGTCACGTCTCAAAGAGCGGCGGAGAGAAAATCTCGACTCGCCAAGCGACAAGAACTACACTATCCCCAGAGTGGCAGACATCCTAATCACACAGGTAGAGAGCATGGACCCACAGCCACAGCATTATGTTTATGCAGTCAGTTCAATGTTTTTATTTGAACAGCGTAGACGAACACAAAATGCTTCCTGGTGAAACTTATGAGTTTTTCTTTAGTTTTCAGGCGAAATAGGAGAAAGGATGAAGGACTCTTATGGAGATTTCTGCAGTCACCACACTGAAGCGGTCAGCTACTACAAAGATCAGCTGCAAAACAACCGGAGGTTTCAGAACCTCATAAGGGTACGATACATTAGCAGTTTTAGAACTTTTATCAGATTTGGACTAAGGCAGACATTAACTCTTATTTTTCTTTCAGAAAATCAACAACCTGTCTATTGTGCGAAGGTTGGGAGTGACGGAGTGTATTTTGTTGGTGACTCAGCGAATTACAAAGTACCCCGTTCTGGTGGAGCGCATTCTGCACAACACAGAAGGTTCTTCTACTCAATGGATTACAACAAGTGTCTTAAAATAAACGTTTTACTGTAATAAAATAATAAATTATAATGGTGGTGGTGTCAAGAATATCTTATTATTGTTTCTAGTGGGAACAGAGGAGCATGATGAACTGACTCGAGCTCTGGGTCTGATCAAAGATACCATCGTACAAGTGGACACGCTGGTTAATCTCTACGAGAAGAACTCTCGACTTCGAGACATACACAACAAGATGGAGCCAAAGGCGCTGGGGAAATTCAAAGATGGCCGAGTGTTTCGCAGGGAGGACCTGGCACAGGGACGGAGGTGTCTCCTTCATGAGGGCACGGTCAGCTGGAAGGCTGCTTCTGGAAGACTCAAAGGTATTTCACAGTAAATGGATGTTCCTTTCAGTTCTACTAATATGAAGTTCGGTTTATCTTTAAATACATGAGTTTTGTCAAATACCAACTTCTTCTCTTCTTTCCAGATATTCTTGCAGTTCTGCTGTCAGATGTGTTGCTCTTAATACAAGAGAAGGATCAGAGACATGTATTTGCTACAGTTGTGAGTGATTTTTTTTTCCACCCTCATTTTTCATATGAAACTATGCATTAAAAGTTAGTTTTTATCCACTGTTATTGCTAGAAATCAAAAATAGCACTTGTTCTTTTTTTAAAGTGTACCATAATATATGTTAAAACAGACTTTTACGTGCAATAAAAGGTGTGTATTTGTTATATTTTCTTATCGCCTGTACCTTCCGTTTGTCCTCTGTTTTAAACTCACCCAGGATAACAAACCGTCGGTGATCTCGCTCCAAAAACTGATTGTCAGGGAGGTGGCTCACGAAGAGAAGGCCATGTTCCTTATCTGCGCCTCCTCCAACGAGCCAGAGATGTATGAGATCCACACCACTTCCAAGGAGGAGCGAAACACTTGGATGGCGCAAATACGACAAGCTGTTGAGAGGTAACTTTACTACACAGAAGATGTTAGAAAATGCGCTTTATCATCACACTTCTGAACCAGACTTATCCACACTCACCTCACTGATTTAACATTGTGGAAAAATTCACTGCATAGTTTACAAACCATGTCACTGTACTGTTGATGCAGTGTAAGCAAACACTTTTATATGCACTTTTTAAGTTGTCCTCACTCAGAAGAGAGGCTGTTCAGCGAAGAAGAGGAGGCACGAGCGTCCAGGCTTAAAGAATTTCAAGGTAACATCAGATAAAGAAAATACTAAATGTAAATAAATGCTTGGTGCAGTCACATGTCTCACCACCAGGGGGTGCAGAAGGGTTTTGTTCGCATTAGCTAAACTTTGTAGTTTTTGAAAGTTATTCTTCTTTAAACACTTTGGATTGTAGGTTGCTAAATAGTTTTATTGTGCTTGGCAAAAATATTCCACATCAGTTTTTTAAGGGCTTTCAACCCAGCAGTTACAGCTGACACTGCACAATTCAAACAAGCTAAATAATCATATAGACATTATGGTTAAAGTGAAAGGACTAAAAATCAAACCAAACAGGCAATTTGAACAATAAAAAACAAAATAAAAACACACAAATGTAAAATTGAGCAATCCAAATGGGATGGAGGAAAACCTATCGCCTCAATACTAAAACCAGGCGTCTGAGGTTAAAGCCAAGGAGAAGAAGTGTGTTTCAGACAAGATTTAAAAGTGGAGAATGAAGGCGCTTGCCTCACCTGGACGGACAGAGTGTTTGTGAGTTTTGGTGTGCAGAAGGCCTTGTCACCGCCGATCTTGCAACTTGCTCTAAGGACAGTGATGAGGAGCTGATCTGAGGGCACGAGGAGGAAGAGGCTTGACCATTTAAGGACTTGAAAACTAAAAGAAGAATGTAAAATGTTTAATTGAAGCAGCAACCAATGAAGAGATGTAATGCGGTGTCAAGAACCTCGCTGCTGCATTCTGAACCAGCTGAAGTCTGGACAGAGCAGCTTTGCTAATGCCACATGGAGTCCACTCCTATTTGTGAAAACAAAAAGGATAAACAGTAAATAAACAGTTGTATTTAACAGATACACATTCTTAAGTTTATATTTTTTTCTTATATAACTAAATCAGCTTAATGACACTCATCTAGGAGCGATGATTCCTGAAAGCTGCTGACCCGACCCTATATATTTTTTTTTCTTTAAAAAAATGAATCCTAATTGAATTTTCTTCTGTTTAATTCCCCTTGGACAGAGCGGCTGAGTCAGAAAGATGCAGTGATCTTACAGGCCCTTACTGAGAAACTGCAGCTGTTTGCGGAGATGGCAGAGTCTACTGTAGCTCTGGAGAATTTAGCCTCCAGTTCCCGGCTGCTGCTTCGAGGAGATGCTTCAGACCTCCAGCAGGGGGAGATCTTGCTCAAAGGAGCCATTACTGAAGGTGTGCATCTGCACGAGGTTCAGAAGAACCCTAGTTTGCATCTTGTGAGATTTGTACTGCTGTTTATTTTAGACTTGCAATAAATCATCAAAGGTTTTGCTGGATTTACTGCTGCTTAGATTGTTTTCTGTCTTTTGAATCCTAGTGGAGAACCTGCAGAACTTACTGCAGTCTGGAGTGAGAGAGGAGACGCAGTCCTCTCACACAGAGGAAGGTGGAGGTTCTGGGGTTCTGCCCAGGCGAGCAGGCACCTTTGGGGGCTATGACAGTAACCCCTCCATCCTCAGTAAGAGTAAGAGTTTAAGTTTTCCTAACTTCCTCATGGAAATCTACCATCTAATAGATTTTTGTGGCCCTGTGTTCTTTAAATAAATCATTAATGGTGTTTAAGTCAAGATAAGTCAGAAAAGGGTAGAATTCCATCTCTGGGTCATTGATGAGGTCCTGCCCCAAGTGAAGGAGTTATTTTGGGGGTTCTTTCATGAGTGAGGGAAAGATGAAGCGCAAGATAGTCTGATTGGTGCTTCGTCTGCAGTGATGCGTGCGTTGGGCCGGTCTGTCATGGTGAAGAGAGAGCTGAGCCAGAAGGCACAGCTCTCAATTTACTGGTCGATCGGCGTTCATACCCTCACATATCGTCATGAGCTTTTTCTCCACAGGGTGTCTGGGCTCTCCCTTAGAGATAGGGTGAGAAGCTTGGTCATCCAGGAGGGGCTCGGAGTAAAACTGGTGGTCCTAAACATCGAGAGGAGTCAGTTGAGGTGGCTCGGGCATTTGATTAAGATGCCTCCTGAACGCCTCCCTGGTGAGGTTTTCTGGGCACGTCCAACCTGGAGGAGACCTAAAGGGAGACCCAGGGCACGTTGGAGGGACTGTCTCAGCTGGCCAGGGGAGTCTGGGCCTCTCGACTTAGGCTGCTGCCTCCGCGACCCAACTCCAGATAAGCAGAAGAGAATGTATGGATAGATGTTTTAGACGCATTTATTTTATATTATGTAAACTAAGAAAATTGAAATAATGGAGTTTTGGACTGTATCTCTGTGTGATTATATGTGTAGAGCTTTTTCACAACTGTCATCCATCCATTCATCCATTTTCTTCCACTTATCCTGAGTTTGGTCACGGGGGCAGCAGCTTAAACAGGGAGGCCCAGACTTCCCTCCTCTCAGCCACTTGGGCCAGCTCCTCTGGAGAAACCCCAAGGTGTTCCCTGGCCAGCCGAGAGACATAGCCCCTCCAGCGTAACCTGGGTCTTCCTTTGGGTCTACTCCCAGTTGGTCGTGCCCAGAAAACCTCACCAGTAAAGCGTTGAGGAGGCATTCTAACCAGATGCCCGAGCCACAGCAACTGGCTCCTCTTAATTTGGAGAAGCAGCGGATCTTCTTTGAGCATCTCACTCCATCTCTGAGAGTCCAGACACCCTGCGTAGAAACTGTTAAATATTTCTTTGTATTTCATTGTGTGTGTGTGTGTGTGTGTGTGTGTGTGTGTGTGTGTGTGTGTGTGTGTGTGTGTGTGTGTGTGTGCGTGCAGATGGCAGCATGAATAAGAGCTTTTCTGGCGAGTCCAGAAGCAGAGACCGAAGCCAAAGAGCCAGCTCTGACCCTCAGCTGAAAGACCTCTATAGCAGCCACACTCTGGAACAGACGGTAAGAGCCCTGTGCAAACACACACACACACACACACACACACACACACACACACACACACACACACACACACACACACACACACACACACACACACACACACATGTAATATACCTGGGGATGAGTGAGGGTGGTATTTCCTGTAAATAGTCAACAGCAGCCCAAGTCACATGGAAACTTTGCATGTCAAGTTTACTGGAATGTTTTTTTACGCAGGTCACTTGTTTTGTATATAAATAGACAAAGCCTCAATAAATATTTTACTCTGAACATTACGTTAATTCTAGTGACTCCTGGTCTTAATCTCGCCAGCTAAATATAAGATGTTGACAGTAAGCTGTGTGTGTGTGCGTGTGCGTGTGTGTGCGTGCGTGCGTGCGTGTGTGTGTGTGTGTGTGTGTGTGAGAGAGAGACAGACGCAGTCAGTGTTATCTATTGACCCTTTTCACTTTAAGTCACCTAAATATGTGGGTCTGCCAGGGTGGGGAAAGTTTGATTTGTTTTCAAACTTGATCATACATGTTAAAATAAGCTAGTTCAGCTCATAGAATGAACTTTCAGTATGTTGTAGCCCGTGAGAACCCTCAGAAAACTACTCATTTTCCAATTGTTGCCACCTGTTCAGTCCACACTTGTACCCTTATAGTATATCCTCAGAATCATGAGGGACACCCGTTAGCTGTATAAAGAATGGACAGAGCTAGCTGTTTTAATGGCCTTTTAATGAGGAATCATTAAATAATCGGAGGTAGGAAACAACATTCTAAGTGTAAAACATTTAAACGTTAAGTATCTTTTAATTTAGCCACTTTTCAAGTTTTGTGAAGAGATCTTCTGACTTGTTTGCCCAAAAGAAAACGAAAATTTTATAACTTGGGTCATAAAGTGCAACAATCAGCCCAAATGAAGAAGCAAGAAAGACAGATGCGACTCTGACTTGTTTCAAGAGTCGTACTTACTAGCCACCACTTGGCCTTGAAGGATGATCACTTCTTCTGCACAAAGTACAGTACAGTCAAGTGTTTGGACACACCCACTTGTTTTAAAAGAGTTAGGTGTGTCTGACCTTTGCTCTAGATAAGAGCTTACAGTCATGTGCCTGCAGGTCTGGTTAGAGGTGAGGGAACAGGGTGACTTAATGACAAAGTATGTGTGTATTACTTCTTATTTCTTATTGCCTGTAGTTGTCTTACCTGAGACCAGATCCACATTATGCACACCGCATCGGTTCTCATCCTGCTTTATTCATAATGTTTTGTTTAAATAATCAGGAAAGTGACACGTTTCTCTGTAACAGGAGGAGCCAGCCTGTATCTTTGATTTGGGGAAAATGAACTTTTCAGACCTGAAAGCTTTATTCTGTTTGAAAATTAGCTTTCCATTATATAAATACGGAACAGTAATCACATTGGGTTTGACTTTCTGTTGCCGATCAGGTTGATGAGACCTGCAGCTCTCCTGTTAAATGGAACCGGATCTGGTCCAACTCATTTCCTGAGGCAGAGGTAATCATCTTGTAGTTCATTGTAGCTCTTGGATTTATCCTCATTATTGTTCTTATGGTAGAAAATGTATGTTCATAACAATCTGTTGTGTTTTTATTAGTTTTACCTAATTAATCCTTTTTATTTCTTACATTCTAGTTCTTTGACAGAGTGTTGATGCTCTCCCAGCGGCTTTATAGTCTGGAGGTAATGATGTCCCCTTAGCTATTTATAGGCATAAGAAAAACTTGGTTTGTTTTATATACAACATTTAATAGTTTCATATATTACTGATATTTACAATTTTATTTAACTTAAATAGCATGTTGAATTTCTGTTCTACCTTCGCTATTCAGTATAGTTACTTTGTAAATTTTATTTCATTATTCTTATTATTACTATTATTACTACTAATCAAGGAGTAACCTAAAATTCTGAGCATCATTTAGAGACGCTCTTCTAAATTGTCAGCTGTATTGTCGTCTGCTGCTTCCAACTTGTAGATACAAAAACATACCCACAAAGCCACTTGCTAAAGGAAAAAGACATGATTAACTGCTCAGTCATGCAGCATTTGTATTTAAAAGCTGAACTACTGACAGTATTTGGTGACCTAGTTCTTCTCCATCTCCAGGCCATCGTATCACAGCAGGACAGTCAGATTGAGCTGCAGCGGGCCTCCCTGACAGAGCGGGTATCCTTGCCGGGCCGTCACAGAGGAAACGTTCTTCTGGAGCAGGAGAAACAGCGGACTCTGGCTCTGCAGAGAGAGGAGCTGGCCACTTTGCACAAACTGCAATCTCAGCACAGGCATGAGCAGCAGCGCTGGGAGAAGGAGAGGGAGAGGCATCGGCAACAAGTTGAAGCCACTGAGGCCAAACTACAACAAAGGGAGGAGGAGTGCAGGAAGCTTGAGGTGAATTAGAGCAGTGGAGCAGACTTTAATGTTCCTAAATCTTTTCATAATTGAGGAGTGGAACCCAAAATGTTGTGTTATGATTTTATTACAGGAGCAGCTGGCGAAGGAAAAGGAAGAGCTGGACAGGCAGAGAGAGACGTATCAGCAGGACTTGGAGAGACTGAGAGAGTCCACCAGAGCAGTGGAAAAAGAAAAGGAACGCCTGGAAAACCTAAAGAAGATCAAACGAAAGACCATTGAGGTGAGGAGTCTGTTGTAATGGTAGCTATTAAGTTTAGCAGACAAGTTTAGTGAAATAATCTGTAGATACAGTGCTCAGCATAAATGAGTACACCCCTTTAAAAAGTAAGAATTTAATCAGTAGCTCAATGAACAAAAGAATAATTTCCAGAATTTTCACAAGGCTGGGCTTTATTGATCACTTGTTTAACTCCATAACATGAAATTAAGGTTAATAAGAGAACTGATTGGAATGTTTCGCTGGCGTGAGTCTCCCATGACGGAGTGGGGGAGGGGTTGGCTGGAATTTCGGAGCCTATTTAGGGGAGATACTGCTTTAGATGCGTGTTTTGGATCATTGTCATGTTGGAAAAGTGCCCGAAAAGTGCATGGAGTGATGGCAGCATCTTCTTCAGTATAGATCAGGACATTGTTGAGTTCATGATACCATCAATGAAGTACAGCTCCCCAACACCAGCAGCACTCATGCAGCCCACATAATGACACCGCCATCATCATGTTTCACTGTAGGCACCATGCATTTCTCTTTGAAATCCTCACCTTTACGACCCCATACAGTTTTGAAACCATTCGTTCCAAAAACAGGGATCTTTGTCTCATCTCTCCAGAATATAGAGTCCCATTAGTCTTCATCTCTTTCAGCATGGGCCCTAGCAAATCCTAGGTGTGCTTTTTTGTGCATGGGCTTTAGGAGAGGCTTCCTTCGTGGACGACCCATGCATGCCCTTTCTTTGCAGTGTATGGTGTCATGGGAAACTGTCACTCAAGTTTGGTTTTCTACTGCTTTAGCTAACTGCAGTGAACTTGCATGGTGGTTTTCTTCAACCCTTTTCATCAAAAGACGCTCCTGTTGAGATTTGAACTTCCATGGACGACCTGGACGTCTCTGTAAGATGGTTGCACTTCAGTCTTTCTTAAATGTTTGGATCACTTTTGCTACAGTATTTTGACTGATATGCAAAGCTTTGCTGATCTTCTTTATATCTTTTTTTGTGTAAAGAAATTATTTCATATCTCAGATTTTGTGACGTTTCTCTTCCATGTGGAGCCATCACAGCATGAAATGGGGAAGGGTCTTTCTTTGTTAAATAATGCTATTTTATAGTCACCTGTGTGCTGGACACCTTAAATTAAAGTGAAGTTAAAGTCCCATAGTCGTCATCACACACTGGTGAAATTCAACTCCGCATTTGACCCATTCCCATGGAGGGGAGCAGTGAGCTGCAGCAGTGGTAGCGCTTGGGAACTATTTTGGGGGGGGGGGGGGGGGGCATTGGGTCCTTTGGTAGGACCCAACCGGCTATCGAGTCCCGATCTCCCAGTCCCATGGAGGACACTAGAGCTGAGGAAAATAATCAAATAATCGATGCATCGGGATGTGGACATAAACGATTCTGCATCGTAGAGGAGTACGCCACAATCGATTATAGTGGAATGTAGTTTTGTTTTTTTAACGGCGGCACCAGCGCCGTATCCAAATCTGTCAGAGTGAGCGTCGTTCACATTTACCTCCGCCTTAATGTGGTACTGCAGGGCTGAGCGCTAGAGTTGTCACCCGAGACCAAACCGGAACCGAATCAGCCCGACCGGTTCTGTTGGATTTGGGCCGTGAATTATGTTAATTGAGCGGGTTGTCATGCGGCGCGCTCCGCTCGCTCGATCAGCGACCGAGAGAGAGAGAGGGAGACACTGTCTGCTCACACAAGAGAGAGGATCGGAGGACGCTCCTCCAAACCGATGCTCCAAACAAGCGTTATTATTTTCATAATTTAATTATTATTTCTCCTGGAAGCGCTCAGTCAGACTGCTTGTTGTAATGTAGGGAGATCCCGTCTTGGGGAGGGGGCGGGGTCAATGACGGCGGCTGCAGCGTGATCGTCTGTCTCTTTTATTTAGGGACACGGAGAAGTTAAAAGGAGAGAGAAATAGAAGATAGAAGTTCTTGTTCCACGTTATTCTTTTGTTTCATGATGATAAACTGATGTTAAATTCAGCTTAAAGAGAAACTGGGAGGAAGCATTGGTTCATTTTAGGTCACAGGAGATCTTGTCTCCTATCTGCTCCTCCAGAGACAGCATGAACATGAGGGTTACATGGCGAGGGTTACACAGGACAGGTTATTGGAAAGGTTTGTAGTTAGCTGGTTAGTGAAAGAGATCCATCAGCTGGGTAATTTAATCCTAATCCAGCCCACAGCCTTCTGCTGGTGTTATTATCAGAAAGAATAAAACACACATCTTAAATATTATTGCAAGTGTAGAATTAGTTTTATGTTTTATTTTCTGCATCAAACAGAACTTGATTCATTCTCCAACATTTCAGAAACGAACCACTGGGTTCAAATAAAATAAACTAAGTCAAACATTTCATTTGGTGTTATTTCTGACACCTTTCAACTGCAGCATAAATATTTGACTCTAGAGCTGCTCAGAGACATTAAACACTCATATATGAACCCATTATGTATTTTATTATTACATTATGTGTCCTGTAGTTTTTCAGTACTTTTTTAGATTTTGTGAGATTTTGTAAAGCGTGTTTTCTCAGCCTGAGGCGTGGTGTTGAACGAGGAAACAGATGTTTTACTTTGTTAAATCTTCTTAAATGTTTAAAATGTTTTGTCCTAACCTGTTGTGAATGGAGAGCTTTTGAGGGTTGGCAGGTTGTGTCAATTACGTTTTTGATAATAATAAAAAAGAAGCAATTATCTGACATCTTCTATTTATCGATGAATACAAATCAATATGAAATAATCGTGATGCATCGTGATGCATCAGGATATCGAATCGAATTGAATTGTTGACCCAATAATCGTAATTGAATCGAATCGGGAGACAAGTGAAGATTCACACCTCTAGAGGACACTGTACCACTAGGCCACTGAGCTGGTCACTGAATCCAAATGACTCATTATATTCCCCAGTGGTCAAGTCCGTGTTAATTGGAATTTTGTAGTCCTAAGTGCGGCTTAATTGGGGTGTACTCATTTTTGCAACATGGGCTTGAATGGATTTGTTAGGAAAATCACTTATTGTGTGTGAAAGTTGACAAATCTTGTTTGCAATCAACGGCCCACAATTGTCGTATTTTGTAGTTAGGTATCTCATAGAAAACGTTGATGCTGAAAGGAAACTAAAGGTTTTCTGACAAATGTAGCGGGGTGTACTCATTTAGGCTGAGCATTGTATGTCAGAGAAAACATACGTGACTGAGTGTATCGCCCTACAATGACTCATGTCGGTTTTTTTAATTGCATGTTAGTCTGGCTGAAGGCGAACTGGTTCTAAACGAGCTGAAGCACCCAGATAATTCGGTACCAATCCAAATACATTCTGCATGTAAACGGGTCAGCCGAACTAAACTAAACGCTTGCGTTCTGGAAGCGACAACACCACGGAAGCGGTCTTCTGACAAGACCATCGTCACAAAGCAACACACATAACACGATAAAACAGGACAGTACGTACCAAATAAGCTGTGCTGCAGCGTTGCTGTGCATTCCTCCAGCCATTGTACACATCCTGTTTCAATTCCTTCTGCTTCATTCCCGCCAGCCTCTGTTTACTGCATGTGTTGCTATGAGCTAACTGGAAGAATGTCGACATGAAGAGGGGCATCATGTCGCCACCTACTGTACCGGAGTGGAACTAACTTAATTTGAGAAGCTTGTTTTTCTATTGCGCATGTAAACTACAATAACGACTCCCAGCTTATTACTGTTTATTATAAGATCGACCTGGATCGACTTAGATGTCGGTCAGTGTGCATGTCACCGTGCTTAGTGTAAAATAGTACAGTATAACATAAAATTAAAATACATGTAAACTGTATTCATAAAAGCTGGGTACTGAAACGCCCTACGTCTTTAGTACCTGCCAGAAATACTTCTTCGGTGTCGCTAACGAAAAAATCTTATTTGGCGTTAAATTTCCGTACTTTCCCAATGAAATTTCCCTGTTAATGAGCCGCGCGTGACATGGGGAGGCTACTGACACACACACACACACACACACACACACACACACACACACACACACACACACACGCACACGCACACGCACACACCACACACACACACACCACACACACACACACCACACACACACACACAAGTTTGTGTTGCTGAATAAGTATATACATAGTTTATTACTCTTGTTTTACTTTTTATTTATACATTATGTTCATTTGGATTTAAATATTTTATTTTTCAGATTTTTAGAGTAGTGGTTTCATATTTCCATAACCAAAGAGTAGTTTTCACTTTATCTACATGCTGTTTACTTTTTCTTTGCATTAAAAGGTAAATACTAATGTTTTATTTTAATACAAGTGTTTAAATGTTATTATGCTTGTTCTAAAAAGAAAGACATCTGTTAAATTGTGGTTTGCTGCTTGCACTGAAAGTTTGCTGCTTTTGCTTAATTTAGTTAACAAAGAAAACAATGAAGTACCTTTTCTCTTAAAATTAGACTTAAAATATATGTATTGTAAACCAGGTATCACTAAAGTGCGGGTATTAACAAAAGGTTCCCAACCGCAGTATCTATACAACCATAGGAGTCCACTTCACTAGAAAGCTTCATTTAACTTCCAGATTCTCTCCTTTGCGTCCGTCTTTCTGTCCTTGCAGCACAGTGTGAGTCATTGTTTGAGAGTTTCATGGGAGAGGAGCTTTGAGGACGATTCACTGTCTGTAATTTCATGCCCGGTGCTTAACAGATCTGTCAAACAGTCGCACTAGAGTTGCCTAATAAAAGCCGAGTGTTTCATCAGAGGCTTGTATCACCTGGTCATCGCTGAGCTGATCCATCCTCAGTGACAGGCTGAGGAAAGGTGAGGCCCTTTGGGCCACAAGACTTGATCTGTAGAACTAACAAACCGACGGATAAGGATGACTAAAAGATAAGGATGACTCTGTCACCATGAATCTGAGTAAAACTCATTTAATGTTGTGTTTACTTTAAATAAAGCTCCCACAAATATGGGTGAAACATGGAAACA